ATATATTTAAAACAATATTTAACTAATAATCTAAGAATTACCTTTTCATTCATTTAAAGACAAGAAATTACTTCATATTGATCATTGAAAACATTTTATTTTGGTCAGTACTTCGTAAGAATGGTTATATATATATAACATGAGAGAAAACCCTTCATTCATAGTATTCTAATCACCCAGTAATCAGTTTGTCGTGTTCACTTGTCTAGTATTTTCGGTAATTAAATTAGTCATAATAATAAAAAAACGCTGTATTAAATTGGTTTATGATTGAGATAGTTCATAAAGCAATTAAATATGATACTTTATGTTACTGAAATCACTAAACTCACAATTTACAACCGTCAGTTTCTCTTTGAGTTCCTGTCAAACATTTGTACTGATTTTTTCATTTATTTATTTGTTTGAACACATAAATATTGTTACAACGGGCACCGAATACATATACGACACACAATTCACTTGACTTGTGTGTGGGCTGTGATACCGCTCGGGTACTCAGACTAAAGCAGGTGGTTTTCTTAGAGGGCCACATCCAGAGCCTTCGACCAAAAGGTCTGATCCACAAGACAGTGGAGCAAAGTTAGGAGATGCATTCCCGTGGTAGCCAATAACCAACTGTTGGTTCATACACCACTTGTTACCTCAGGATCTCTGAGCCAATATTCACCATTAATTTGTAATTAGTGTTTCCCAACTGCCCTAGGTGGATCCTCCATATCCATCAACCTGGTTAAAGTGCCGCACATTCGGTTTTCGTCCTCTCAACTTCATAAACAACAGTAATGCCGTGAGAAGGCGGTGGATAGAACTTTCCTGGTCATGGCTGTATACGCGTGGCCGTGTGAGAGCATTTTGAAAGTGAGAGCTAACTCTCCCCACCCTCTGCTGTACCGGGGCATTTAAGGGCATTTGTGCTGATTAAGGACGAACCTGCAGAAATATTTAATACCTCTTGGAGAAATGACTATCTTTAACAAAATAATAATAAATCTTGAAAAATCCAAACAGTGTAAAAATCATACACATTTTATATATATTGACGTTTTGACACAATGTACTTGGTGTCTAATAAGTATTGTGAAAGTTACTGGGTCATTCTCCGCGTTTATTATATTAGACAGAAAAAGATGGTTCTAACTTTAGTTCGAGGGTAAAACCTTTTATAGAATATTCATACAAATAATAAATACAGTTACAATATTCACAATATAGGTAACGTAAAAATACAAAGAAACTGAACAATGGAGTTAATATGATCATGTGAGAGAGCGTTTAAAATATTTGTTAAGGATATCTGTTTTAGTAGCCCTCTTATCTGACTCCAGTTCGACCGTATGAATGATTACTATCGAAATATATTTCCAGGTTATCCTCGTATATAATCATCAACTTAAATCACGTTAGTGAATAAGGGAATAAAAATAAATCAAATACGAGAATGGATTTCGAATACGTATGCTTCACACAATCGTTGATCTTGGCAGACAATCGAAGAAACGAAGCAAAGAAAGCGGAGAGGAGAGAATGGAATGAAATGAAATGACATGCGGTGGAGAGGGCGAGTGAGCCAACTTGGTATCATCAAGCATGACTTGATATTTATAGTCAAACAAAAACTGTTACAGACATAATGAATATGGTATGTAATTAACACACTGAAATAAAAGCAGTCAGGGTTAATATGCGAATAAGTGACAAGGTAAGAATGTGATTTTAGAAAATTGAATAGATTGATCTGTCCAGAGGCTAGAATAACCCATGTGGGCTTGACAGAGTACCATTTCTTACACTGTCAAATGAAGAGGTATTACTAAAAGTCTAAGTAAGGGTTGTTAGATTATTGAGACTGTGACAAGTGAAACATAAACTCTTATTTCATATAAATCGAACTAGACACTGACAACTCACCAGGGTTTCCCACAAAGTGTAACAACTTATTGTTTACCTCTTAATTGATTGTTCGAAATCTTATAATTTGAATCTAATACATGATGCGTACTTACAAACTATTAGTAAACGTAGAGACACCATAGCAAATGATTATCGAATTACGTGACACATGTTTGCAGAATTCTTCACATAAGATAATCTTCATTATTCCAAGTACTTAATAAAAATTAAAGCCTGGGTAAATAAGTGAATTTGCTGAAGCATATCAATATCGATTTATTTCAAATGGTAATATGTGTATCAGGAACTATGTTTACACACTGGAACAAATAATATTCCACATAAATCAATACTTAACAAAAACACTTTTTATTTGGAAGTAGTTTAATATAATGTTGAATCATGCTTATACACTACTTAAATAGATGTTTATCAAATTCACATTCACCTGATAAATAACATAGAAACTTAACCGCCTTTCCTTTCAATGATGTATTTCATCCGATTGATAAATATTAATCTAATTTGATGACTGCTTTGTTCAACTTTTTCCGACAAGAATTGCTTGAATGTACGGTAGACAGTCGGAATTATTTATGCAATTTTTTTCAATCTCTAATATACCTAGTCGCCTTTTTGTGACGATGTATTATTTGAAAGATGTTCTTAAAAAAATCTTCATTTTACACACATGGAGTAATAAAAATAAATATCGACAAAAAATAGCCTCTATCGAAAGAAAATGTACCTAGTAGCTGAATACCTCCAGATCTCTGGGCAGGTGTGTTTTATATGATTTTAACATATACACATGCACGCAAATGGTAACATGGTAGAATGATTTTTTATTACTGTACAAACACCATTTGGTTAATTCCTTAAACAAAATAAGAATTTCCTGTGATGTTCTATACCACTGAAATATGTAGAATTTAAAAGACAATATTGTTTTTAGATGGTGGTTGGAGGTAGTTGAAAAGAAACCCTGAACCCGGGTTTCGTGCTATTTGGCAATCGTCAGCAAGGTGTACCTGTAATCTTGAGGGAACTGGTGCTCCCTGGCGGATTCAATCTCGTGTCACCCAGCTTCACAGTCAGAGACGTTACCACTGAGCTATCCGAGCCGCGACCGACCTCCTGTAGGACCTAGACTGTTCGCCACATTGCAACATGATCAATAGCATTCGATCTGCACTAATAGGGACTAGACACGCATGACATTGATCGCCAGCCAGTGATCAATCAATTGTGCTTGCATCTCAGTCCTACAGGAGGTTAGTCACGGCTCGGATAGCTCAGTGGTAACGTCTCTGACTGTGAAGCTGGGTGACACGAGATTGAATCCGCCAGGGAGCACCAGTTCCCTCAAGATTACAGGTACACCTTGCTGACGATTGCCAAATAGCACGAAACCCGGGTCCAGGGTTTCCTGTTGACTACCTCCAACCACCATCTAAATCTCAATACATAGTGCCCGCAGTATCGAGTCACCTAGACTGGTGGCCACATTGCAACATGATCGATAGCATTCGATCTGCACTAAGAAGGACAAGCATGACATTGATCGCGACTCAGTGATCAATCAATTGTGACAATATTGTTTTCCATAGTTGTATACAATAGTAGTCTTGAAAATTTCATCCATTTAGACAAGAAAGATGAAAGTATTGACATTTTAGCGAAACTATAATTTATGATCGAACTGATCAGGTATAAGATAACAGGTCTCAGATTTTGGCTTGAAATTCACCCATTTCGCTAAATAGAGTTTTGACATTATAGCTGATGTCAGTTCATGATGAAAACCCTAATATAATTCCTGATCCTAATTCTAATCCCTCACACTGGTTTATAACCCTCATTTGGTCCTAGTTAATAAGTGGACACTCTCAAGGTCACCATAACGTTGCTCAAAGGTCGTCCATAAATTATAGTCTTACCGTACATTCTTTTAAATAAATACGACGTATTAATTCATTCATAACAAACTGTCTACTGATTGTAATTCTCTTTACTTTTATTTAAGTAAACAAGTTGAAAATACAAAATTTTTTTATTAGATCGTATAAGGAAATTATTACATGTTATTAACTAATACAAACTATCTCAAATAAATGAAATATAATTGAGAATTTGTTAATTAAATAACATGCTGAATTTAGCGATCAATATCAACACTATCTGTAAATAATATTACAGAATTCAATAAACTTACATTTTCAACATATATCTGTCCAAATGGTTAAGATCATGAGTCGATTGAGTTTAGACCACCATGGAAAACCTGGAAGCACTGGACGGCCGTTCCGTCCAATTGTAAGACCCCACAGTAGCAGTGCGTTTCCACCATCCCACCTCGGATGATTCGAACCCAGGAACTATTGGTTTCGATCTTTTCAACTTTTTCAAATTAAACAATTAACTGTGACGTTCTAAAATAAACTCGTATCACTCTAAAAGATCCAACTTGTGATTCCTTTATCAACACTGAATAAATATAAATTGAAGTATTTATTAAATTCATTAAAATGATTAAACAGAACGTTGATAGAAGAATTTAAACGGTTGTCCAATTAAAGCTTCATATAATTGCAACCAAATAAATTTACAATAATAATTACTAAAAACTTGTTTAGCATTTGAATATTGAAGAATTTGCAATTACATATTCACTAACCAGGCAATAATAACAAGATTATTTAATGGCAAATTCATGTTAAAAGTTAATTGAAAATAAAAAAAGTTAAAAATTATAATACGGAAAACTAAAACAAAAATCAAAATGGAAAGAATCCAATACAGAATAAAACACAACTAATAATGGTGAAAAAGGCAATGAGAAAAATATATTGAAAAGATAAAAAATAATCAAACAGAAAAAAAATTATTCAAAAGAAAAAAACCTAAAATACATTCACAGAAAAAATTCCGTCCCAAAAGGCGATGAAGAAGAATTCATTAAGGAAATGTAATCCACACCACCACTAAAACACTATGAATGTCTCACCAGACATAATGCATGGGTCTCACACACTTGCAATCCAGCACGAATTACTGCACACTACACACTCGCGCTTAATCCACTCTGTGGTCTCATTCCATTTCAGGTACCAGGTGGAAGACCAGCACTGACAGAGGTAGTTGGAGCTGAAGGAGATGTGAGTGGAGACGCGTCGACAGGCACCCATTCTGTCAGTCACATGGATCGTGTCGATTCCGGAGGGGAGAATGTTCTCGGAACACAGGTAATCTCATTCAAACACTTGTTTCCTTGATTGCAGTGTTGTGGAATGTCGATAAATTTGTCGATCTGTGATGTGTCTGTGTCTGTGTCTGTGTCTGTGTTTGTGTCTGTGACTCTCTCTCACTCCCTGTGTAACTGTGTGTGAGAGTTGTCCCGTGAGTACCTGTACCGTGGGTCTCCTATCAGATCACTTGAATTTCGAGTCAAGAATCCATTGAGTATGTGATGAGGTCGAAACGTCTCACGTCGACACCGTGACCATGACCGTGATCGTAGCCACCCTGGTTGTGTGTGTATGTGTTTTTCAGTATTTGTGAATCTGTCTGATGTGTGCTGAGCAACATTGGTTCGACGAAGCATTGTCGACCATCCGTTGAATTCACGTGGCATTGTCCAACCCATCCAATGTGTGTTCGCCTATTCATAAGCATGCATAGATTGCCAGGTGGTGTGCGCCACTGATATGTGATGTTTGATTTCGTCGTTCAGTATTGATGATTCTCATTGGAGTCGGCAATCCGGCATATGAGTGGTGAACGAAAGGGCGACTGTGAATATAAGCATTTGTGATGAAATGACTGAGTTGAGTTTGGTTGTGTGAAGTGGAGTGTGAGTAAGTGAGTGTGTCTCAGTGTAGGCGGACAAGGAGCGGAGATGCTATTCGACAGGCACATGGATTCTTCAGAGAATGTGTGGAGTCGATTGGGATGAAGGGGAGGCAGATGATTGGCTAGACGAGAACATGACAGGTGAGCAGTGTGCCGAGTAATTCACTTCGGACATGTGATCCACACCACCACTAAAACACTATGAATGTCTCACCAGACATAATGCATGGGTCTCACACACTTGCAATCCAGCACGAATTACTGCACACTACACACTCGCGCTTAATCCACTCTGTGGTCTCATTCCATTTCAGGTACCAGGTGGAAGACCAGCACTGACAGAGGTAGTTGGAGCTGAAGGAGATGTGAGTGGAGACGCGTCGACAGGCACCCATTCTGTCAGTCACATGGATCGTGTCGATTCCGGAGGGGAGAATGTTCTCGGAACACAGGTAATCTCATTCAAACACTTGTTTCCTTGATTGCAGTGTTGTGGAATGTCGATAAATTTGTCGATCTGTGATGTGTCTGTGTCTGTGTCTGTGTCTGTGTTTGTGTCTGTGACTCTCTCTCACTCCCTGTGTAACTGTGTGTGAGAGTTGTCCCGTGAGTACCTGTACCGTGGGTCTCCTATCAGATCACTTGAATTTCGAGTCAAGAATCCATTGAGTATGTGATGAGGTCGAAACGTCTCACGTCGACAGACCAACACTAGTGGATAACGCATGGACGATGAGGCATGGAAGTCACGAGGTGTTCTCCAATGCATGCAATGTGTGCTCACCGAGTCATATGCATGTGGAGATCCACAGTCAGTATATGTGAGTGACTTGATGGAGATGTGACTGGGATTGCGACCGAGGTTGTCCACAGCAAATCTGTGTGCTGACTGAATGGTGCATTGTGACTGCAGCAACTTGGATCAGCTCACTGATTGACAAGTTGTGTGAATGTGTGATATGAGATGCTGTGAAAATCTGTGACGTGACAATGAACACACCACAAACTGTCATTGTATGTGTTTTCAGTGGATCGAGTGAGTAGAGGTGGGATGTGGTTGGGTGATTGTCGACCATAACATGTCAGATGAGGATTGGTCTGACCAAGTCACCATTGACACGTCATCCACACAACCACTACAAAACAGAAATCATGACAACACCAATATAATGCATAGGTCTCACACAGTCACAATCTAGCACCAAATACTGCACACTACACACTCCAGCCTAATCCACTCTATGATCTCTTTCACTTTCAGGTGTCAAGTGAACAACCAGCATCGACGAGTGAACGTCAGACCGGAGACAATGAGACCAGAGACACTTCAGGAGACTCTCACTCCATCAGTCACATGGGTGTTGGTGTTGGTGTCGGTGCCAGTGAGGAGAATCTTCTCGACACACAGGTAATCTCGTTCACACACTTGTTTCCTTGATTGACGTGTTGTGGAATGTTGATGAGATCGGTGACTAGTCGTATGTGTAGGCATTCCACACCACATCGGATCAGTTCACACCACCGTTACTTGTCGATCGAGTGTTGCATGTGGTCGAAATGTGTCAAGTGGACAATGTGCCTGTGTGCGTGTTGTTGTGTGTTTGTGAATCTGTCTGAGGTGTAGTGACCAACACTAGTGGATAACGCATGGACGATGAGGCATGGAAGTCACGAGGTGTTCTCCAATGCATGCAATGTGTGCTCACCGAGTCATATGCATGTGGAGATCCACAGTCAGTATATGTGAGTGACTTGATGGAGATGTGACTGGGATTGCGACCGAGGTTGTCCACAGCAAATATGTGTGCTGACTGAATGGTGCATTGTGACTGCAGACAACTTGGATCAGCTCACTGATTGACAAGTTGTGTGAATGTGTGATATGAGATGCTGTGAAAATCTGTGACGTGACAATGAACACACCACAAACTGTCATTGTATGTGTTTTCAGTGGATCGAGTGAGTAGAGGTGGGATGTGGTTGGGTGATTGTCGACCATAACATGTCAGATGAGGATTGGTCTGACCAAGTCACCATTGACACGTCATCCACACAACCACTACAAAACAGAAATCATGACAACACCAATATAATGCATAGGTCTCACACAGTCACAATCTAGCACCAAATACTGCACACTACACACTCCAGCCTAATCCACTCTATGATCTCTTTCACTTTCAGGTGTCAAGTGAACAACCAGCATCGACGAGTGAACGTCAGACCGGAGACAATGAGACCAGAGACACTTCAGGAGACTCTCACTCCATCAGTCACATGGGTGTTGGTGTTGGTGTCGGTGCCAGTGAGGAGAATCTTCTCGACACACAGGTAATCTCGTTCACACACTTGTTTCCTTGATTGACGTGTTGTGGAATGTTGATGAGATCGGTGACTAGTCGTATGTGTAGGCATTCCACACCACATCGGATCAGTTCACACCACCGTTACTTGTCGATCGAGTGTTGCATGTGGTCGAAATGTGTCAAGTGGACAATGTGCCTGTGTGCGTGTTGTTGTGTGTTTGTGAATCTGTCTGAGGTGTAGTGACCAACACTAGTGGATAACGCATGGACGATGAGGCATGGAAGTCACGAGGTGTTCTCCAATGCATGCAATGTGTGCTCACCGAGTCATATGCATGTGGAGATCCACAGTCAGTATATGTGAGTGACTTGATGGAGATGTGACTGGGATTGCGACCGAGGTTGTCCACAGCAAATATGTGTGCTGACTGAATGGTGCATTGTGACTGCAGACAACTTGGATCAGCTCACTGATTGACAAGTTGTGTGAATGTGTGATATGAGATGCTGTGAAAATCTGTGACGTGACAATGAACACACCACAAACTGTCATTGTATGTGTTTTCAGTGGATCGAGTGAGTAGAGGTGGGATGTGGTTGGGTGATTGTCGACCATAACATGTCAGATGAGGATTGGTCTGACCAAGTCACCATTGACACGTCATCCACACAACCACTACAAAACAGAAATCATGACAACACCAATATAATGCATAGGTCTCACACAGTCACAATCTAGCACCAAATACTGCACACTACACACTCCAGCCTAATCCACTCTATGATCTCTTTCACTTTCAGGTGTCAAGTGAACAACCAGCATCGACGAGTGAACGTCAGACCGGAGACAATGAGACCAGAGACACTTCAGGAGACTCTCACTCCATCAGTCACATGGGTGTTGGTGTTGGTGTCGGTGCCAGTGAGGAGAATCTTCTCGACACACAGGTAATCTCGTTCACACACTTGTTTCCTTGATTGACGTGTTGTGGAATGTTGATGAGATCGGTGACTAGTCGTATGTGTAGGCATTCCACACCACATCGGATCAGTTCACACCACCGTTACTTGTCGATCGAGTGTTGCATGTGGTCGAAATGTGTCAAGTGGACAATGTGCCTGTGTGCGTGTTGTTGTGTGTTTGTGAATCTGTCTGAGGTGTAGTGACCAACACTAGTGGATAACGCATGGACGATGAGGCATGGAAGTCACGAGGTGTTCTCCAATGCATGCAATGTGTGCTCACCGAGTCATATGCATGTGGAGATCCACAGTCAGTATATGTGAGTGACTTGATGGAGATGTGACTGGGATTGCGACCGAGGTTGTCCACAGCAAATATGTGTGCTGACTGAATGGTGCATTGTGACTGCAGACAACTTGGATCAGCTCACTGATTGACAAGTTGTGTGAATGTGTGATATGAGATGCTGTGAAAATCTGTGACGTGACAATGAACACACCACAAACTGTCATTGTATGTGTTTTCAGTGGATCGAGTGAGTAGAGGTGGGATGTGGTTGGGTGATTGTCGACCATAACATGTCAGATGAGGATTGGTCTGACCAAGTCACCATTGACACGTCATCCACACAACCACTACAAAACAGAAATCATGACAACACCAATATAATGCATAGGTCTCACACAGTCACAATCTAGCACCAAATACTGCACACTACACACTCCAGCCTAATCCACTCTATGATCTCTTTCACTTTCAGGTGTCAAGTGAACAACCAGCATCGACGAGTGAACGTCAGACCGGAGACAATGAGACCAGAGACACTTCAGGAGACTCTCACTCCATCAGTCACATGGGTGTTGGTGTTGGTGTCGGTGCCAGTGAGGAGAATCTTCTCGACACACAGGTAATCTCGTTCACACACTTGTTTCCTTGATTGACGTGTTGTGGAATGTTGATGAGATCGGTGACTAGTCGTATGTGTAGGCATTCCACACCACATCGGATCAGTTCACACCACCGTTACTTGTCGATCGAGTGTTGCATGTGGTCGAAATGTGTCAAGTGGACAATGTGCCTGTGTGCGTGTTGTTGTGTGTTTGTGAATCTGTCTGAGGTGTAGTGACCAACACTAGTGGATAACGCATGGACGATGAGGCATGGAAGTCACGAGGTGTTCTCCAATGCATGCAATGTGTGCTCACCGAGTCATATGCATGTGGAGATCCACAGTCAGTATATGTGAGTGACTTGATGGAGATGTGACTGGGATTGCGACCGAGGTTGTCCACAGCAAATATGTGTGCTGACTGAATGGTGCATTGTGACTGCAGACAACTTGGATCAGCTCACTGATTGACAAGTTGTGTGAATGTGTGATATGAGATGCTGTGAAAATCTGTGACGTGACAATGAACACACCACAAACTGTCATTGTATGTGTTTTCAGTGGATCGAGTGAGTAGAGGTGGGATGTGGTTGGGTGATTGTCGACCATAACATGTCAGATGAGGATTGGTCTGACCAAGTCACCATTGACACGTCATCCACACAACCACTACAAAACAGAAATCATGACAACACCAATATAATGCATAGGTCTCACACAGTCACAATCTAGCACCAAATACTGCACACTACACACTCCAGCCTAATCCACTCTATGATCTCTTTCACTTTCAGGTGTCAAGTGAACAACCAGCATCGACGAGTGAACGTCAGACCGGAGACAATGAGACCAGAGACACTTCAGGAGACTCTCACTCCATCAGTCACATGGGTGTTGGTGTTGGTGTCGGTGCCAGTGAGGAGAATCTTCTCGACACACAGGTAATCTCGTTCACACACTTGTTTCCTTGATTGACGTGTTGTGGAATGTTGATGAGATCGGTGACTAGTCGTATGTGTAGGCATTCCACACCACATCGGATCAGTTCACACCACCGTTACTTGTCGATCGAGTGTTGCATGTGGTCGAAATGTGTCAAGTGGACAATGTGCCTGTGTGCGTGTTGTTGTGTGTTTGTGAATCTGTCTGAGGTGTAGTGACCAACACTAGTGGATAACGCATGGACGATGAGGCATGGAAGTCACGAGGTGTTCTCCAATGCATGCAATGTGTGCTCACCGAGTCATATGCATGTGGAGATCCACAGTCAGTATATGTGAGTGACTTGATGGAGATGTGACTGGGATTGCGACCGAGGTTGTCCACAGCAAATATGTGTGCTGACTGAATGGTGCATTGTGACTGCAGACAACTTGGATCAGCTCACTGATTGACAAGTTGTGTGAATGTGTGATATGAGATGCTGTGAAAATCTGTGACGTGACAATGAACACACCACAAACTGTCATTGTATGTGTTTTCAGTGGATCGAGTGAGTAGAGGTGGGATGTGGTTGGGTGATTGTCGACCATAACATGTCAGATGAGGATTGGTCTGACCAAGTCACCATTGACACGTCATCCACACAACCACTACAAAACAGAAATCATGACAACACCAATATAATGCATAGGTCTCACACAGTCACAATCTAGCACCAAATACTGCACACTACACACTCCAGCCTAATCCACTCTATGATCTCTTTCACTTTCAGGTGTCAAGTGAACAACCAGCATCGACGAGTGAACGTCAGACCGGAGACAATGAGACCAGAGACACTTCAGGAGACTCTCACTCCATCAGTCACATGGGTGTTGGTGTTGGTGTCGGTGCCAGTGAGGAGAATCTTCTCGACACACAGGTAATCTCGTTCACACACTTGTTTCCTTGATTGACGTGTTGTGGAATGTTGATGAGATCGGTGACTAGTCGTATGTGTAGGCATTCCACACCACATCGGATCAGTTCACACCACCGTTACTTGTCGATCGAGTGTTGCATGTGGTCGAAATGTGTCAAGTGGACAATGTGCCTGTGTGCGTGTTGTTGTGTGTTTGTGAATCTGTCTGAGGTGTAGTGACCAACACTAGTGGATAACGCATGGACGATGAGGCATGGAAGTCACGAGGTGTTCTCCAATGCATGCAATGTGTGCTCACCGAGTCATATGCATGTGGAGATCCACAGTCAGTATATGTGAGTGACTTGATGGAGATGTGACTGGGATTGCGACCGAGGTTGTCCACAGCAAATATGTGTGCTGACTGAATGGTGCATTGTGACTGCAGACAACTTGGATCAGCTCACTGATTGACAAGTTGTGTGAATGTGTGATATGAGATGCTGTGAAAATCTGTGACGTGACAATGAACACACCACAAACTGTCATTGTATGTGTTTTCAGTGGATCGAGTGAGTAGAGGTGGGATGTGGTTGGGTGATTGTCGACCATAACATGTCAGATGAGGATTGGTCTGACCAAGTCACCATTGACACGTCATCCACACAACCACTACAAAACAGAAATCATGACAACACCAATATAATGCATAGGTCTCACACAGTCACAATCTAGCACCAAATACTGCACACTACACACTCCAGCCTAATCCACTCTATGATCTCTTTCACTTTCAGGTGTCAAGTGAACAACCAGCATCGACGAGTGAACGTCAGACCGGAGACAATGAGACCAGAGACACTTCAGGAGACTCTCACTCCATCAGTCACATGGGTGTTGGTGTTGGTGTCGGTGCCAGTGAGGAGAATCTTCTCGACACACAGGTAATCTCGTTCACACACTTGTTTCCTTGATTGACGTGTTGTGGAATGTTGATGAGATCGGTGACTAGTCGTATGTGTAGGCATTCCACACCACATCGGATCAGTTCACACCACCGTTACTTGTCGATCGAGTGTTGCATGTGGTCGAAATGTGTCAAGTGGACAATGTGCCTGTGTGCGTGTTGTTGTGTGTTTGTGAATCTGTCTGAGGTGTAGTGACCAACACTAGTGGATAACGCATGGACGATGAGGCATGGAAGTCACGAGGTGTTCTCCAATGCATGCAATGTGTGCTCACCGAGTCATATGCATGTGGAGATCCACAGTCAGTATATGTGAGTGACTTGATGGAGATGTGACTGGGATTGCGACCGAGGTTGTCCACAGCAAATATGTGTGCTGACTGAATGGTGCATTGTGACTGCAGACAACTTGGATCAGCTCACTGATTGACAAGTTGTGTGAATGTGTGATATGAGATGCTGTGAAAATCTGTGACGTGACAATGAACACACCACAAACTGTCATTGTATGTGTTTTCAGTGGATCGAGTGAGTAGAGGTGGGATGTGGTTGGGTGATTGTCGACCATAACATGTCAGATGAGGATTGGTCTGACCAAGTCACCATTGACACGTCATCCACACAACCACTACAAAACAGAAATCATGACAACACCAATATAATGCATAGGTCTCACACAGTCACAATCTAGCACCAAATACTGCACACTACACACTCCAGCCTAATCCACTCTATGATCTCTTTCACTTTCAGGTGTCAAGTGAACAACCAGCATCGACGAGTGAACGTCAGACCGGAGACAATGAGACCAGAGACACTTCAGGAGACTCTCACTCCATCAGTCACATGGGTGTTGGTGTTGGTGTCGGTGCCAGTGAGGAGAATCTTCTCGACACACAGGTAATCTCGTTCACACACTTGTTTCCTTGATTGACGTGTTGTGGAATGTTGATGAGATCGGTGACTAGTCGTATGTGTAGGCATTCCACACCACATCGGATCAGTTCACACCACCGTTACTTGTCGATCGAGTGTTGCATGTGGTCGAAATGTGTCAAGTGGACAATGTGCCTGTGTGCGTGTTGTTGTGTGTTTGTGAATCTGTCTGAGGTGTAGTGACCAACACTAGTGGATAACGCATGGACGATGAGGCATGGAAGTCACGAGGTGTTTTCCACTTCATGCAATTTGTTATGATATTTTCCTATGCGTTTGTTTTTATACTAATATTTTTTTTCCTAGTTTTGCATTGTTTCGTGTTTTATTTTTATTTCGTTTTTCTGTTTCATTATTAATTATCTACTTTCCTTTTTCAGTTTATCTCGTTTTTATCATACTTTTTTTTCATTTTGTTTGATTTTTTTCTAATTTTTTTATTTGGGCAGTATCTTCTGCACTTTCCCATTTAGTGTTTTTTTAATTTTATGATACCGGTTAATCAGAGGAGCTTTACTTTCCTTTACTATTGTTTGTTTTCTACATGGCGTGTCATTCTGCGTCAACTCTGTCAATTTGTGTCATATATCAGTTTTCTCTTCTGTATTAAATTGTCGTCTGCCGTTGTGTTATACAATTGAGTACTCGTTTGCTTAGTTCACTCGCGTGTCCCGTCAAGCATGTTTGCGACATAGTTCATATCAACATCGGTATCTCCGAAGGTTATAATCTACCGTACATTTAGTGGAAGTCGACGAAGCTACAGTTGATAAATTAGGTTGATGTCTACTTTCTTGCCACCTATCGGATTTTTCATGTGGGTTTTTTGTCTGCGAAGCTGTCCTATCGCCCATTTACACCTGATTAGGTGGCTGGTCAAAACTTCTTGGGTTGGTTAAAGAAACGGATCTAATTACGGCTTACTTTATTATGTCATATGGTCTTTCGGGGTCCGGTCTAGATAAAACCTCTCTTACGCTATCTTCATCTTCGTCTGGAAGAAGCGTGCTTGTGTGGCCGAACTTGTATCGTTGCAAATTAATGAATTTATACAAAAATAATCTTCAAATCTGAAAAACCAAAGTTGTATGTCGGTAACTTTAAAAAACGGAATAGAAAGGTTAAGGGACTTCACAGACGGCATTTGCCGGATACTTAGGGTTTTCCGACGACATATTTATAAAAACAGTTGATGGTACTCGAATAAAATAATGTAAATGTCAAAAAGAGAAATGAACCGACAACAACAATGATAATAACAGATGATACAGTTTTATAATATAGATCAGACTCACTAAACTGCACCAGTATATCAACTGTTTATGAAACGTCGATATTTATAATAATAATGATTATTATTATTAATAATGTTATAATTATTATTATGTTTATTATTGTTAAATTATGTTCAGTAATTTTTATGAGAATGTACGTGTAACGAAAATAATAATATTAGTAATCCCTAACTATAATTATGATCCAACTAATAATCCGAATGGAGACAAAGTTGAATTTTTCGAAATAAGATCGTGTCATCGAAAATTGCGTCGCGTTCGCACGTCGGGCTAACCATTTTTGTAGTGGCTTGGCTTCAAGATAATTCCTTACGCTTCATTTATCAATCACCCTGATAACCTTTATTAAATAAATCCCAACGGTGTATTAATTCAGACTGCAACAAGAAGCGCTAAGTAAAGTTTATTATTAGATAGCGCAGATAACAGATTTACAAGCACACCAAACGAATTTAAGCAGAAAGGCTAATATGCGTGAGCAAGAGGATACTGAGTTGAATCAATTTATTAGATCCAAGCATATATATATTCACAGAGAGATTTTTGAGCAACTAATTTTAGGCTAGATAAAGGGATATGCGCGTATTCTGTTACATGTAATCAAATATACATGTTTTGATACAGACATGATAGTAATTATAATAATACAAAAAAATAGACAGATTGTTACTGTTAGACAATTTAATCAAAGGGCACAACAAAATTAACTGACAACAAAACTAATTGTAGAAGAGATGCCCACAAATGCCCTGGTACGGCCGAGAGTGGGGAAAGACAGCTCCCCCCACCCTCGGAATGCTCTCACATGACCATGTGCATACAACCGCTATCAGCAAAGTCTACTCACTGCCTTCTCGAGGTGGGGCTTTTGCTTACGAAGTTGAGAGGATGAAACGCGGATGTCCGGCGCATTGACCGGGTTGGTGGATATGGAGGGTCCAGCTAGGGCAGTTGGGGAACCTGGGTTCCAAATCAATAGTGAACCTGGGTTCCAAATCAATAGTGAACATGGGATGGCTCCAGTATCCTGAAGGAACAAACGGTGTATGAACCAATTATTGGTCACCGGGTATCATGCGATTCCATCTCCCGACGTTGTTCCACTGCCTTGTGGATCAGACTTTTAGATCAAATGCTCTGAGTGTAGCCCCCTACGAAAACCACCTGTTTTGATTTGAGCACCTAGTCAGTATCACAACCCTCACACAAATCGAGTGGGGAAGTGTGAAGCATATATATTTGGTGCTTCTTTGTACCAATGTTTATGTGTTTAATTAAACAAATGTAGGCGAGATGCCATCAATTCATTCATCCTAACTAAGAAAGAACTATTAATTATAAATTACTATGTATGCAGATCATAGATATTTGTCATTTCGTATAAATATATGAATATACGTTAGTACCCATTTTGATTTTTACTGAAAACAATGGAATAATGTCAGTCAAATAGTTCTTATTCACTAGAATGTAGGAAATAACAATTGTATCATCATATCAATTGGATGTAAACAAAACATTCCGCCATAAGTTCATCGATACTGAAAACTGTTAATTCAGACTTTTGTCTTAAAATCTGTAATCAAAGAAATATATTTCACTGATTGAAATCATGAGTCAATTGAAGCTAAACCACCATGGAAAACCTGGAAGCACTCGACGACCGTTTCGTCCTAGCATGGGACTCCTCAGCAGTGCGCATCCACGATCCCGCACCCCACGGCTTCAAATCCACGACCTACTGGTTTCGCGTGCGGGCACTTAACCACTAGACCACTGAGCCGGCATCCAACGTTGTTAATGTCTAACTCCAACCAATCCACGAAGTTGCGCCACCGTACACCATTGTCTTCAGTGAGCTGATATCTCACAACAGACCTGTTTATTAATGGAACTCATAAAAAGCCAACTAGAGTTCACTTTCACTGACGTATTTTAGTTTCATATGAAACCAACTTCTTGATCATTTTTATTTGGTACTTTTTTGTTTAATACAACTCCACATAGATGTATAAACCAACGGATCAAATGGATCAGACATCTGATGACTTGTACGTGGGACTGGTTGAACATAAAGTAGAAAAACAGTCTCATAATAGAAATGCAACGTATATAACATTTGAAGAAGTCTCAGGAACCTATCGAATGAATAGAAGAGCTGATTATAATTATACCATAAATGTAAGTATCTACAAAGTTCTTTGTATTTCTACATCTGTCCTAGATAAAATGGTTCAATTTGGACCTCATTTAGAATATTATGATTGTATCAAACAATAAAATCTGGAATACAAGCGAGCTTGATAATTCCTGGATTATTCTAAGTGATCTAGTGCAAAATAACGAGTTCAGTGAGGAGATGAAATTTTAACTGTTACTGAAAAAAATTAATTGATTTTAAAAATACTGAAACTTCTTAAGAGGAAGCTGAAACTAATTTCGTTTACAAAGGTCTACTTGATAGACAGTAACAGTTTTAATGACATCCAGGTAAGCGCTGAGATCATAGGCATATGACAAGAGTTTATCTTTTGAAAGGTCTCTGGAGAACATTATAGGCCAAAACGGTAATAGAATATACCAGGATGTATCTTTTGCGGTTAGTAACTCTTATCATTAGAGATTCATTTCCACCACAAGATCCAGTTCTTTAACAAAAGAATCACCATTCACAGTAGATAGTCTTGGTACTTAAGAGTAACATGAGGTCGTTGAGAAAATTTGTACAAACATGGAATGAGCGGTTTGTTATTTGAGTTTCCTCGGACACCATATTGAGAATTTTGAGATGGATTTCATCGCAGATTCATTGTCCAGAATAATGTGTAGAATTTAAAAAGTTTTGTACTAAAGCACATATAAAAATCAGAGGTAAATTAGGTATAAAACGCTAATCAAACTAATAAAGACTGGAAGTTTCCTAATTAATAAATTTTAAAGAGATAAACATAGTCCCACAGTTGCATATACAGAATTTAAAATGTCTAGGTGAGACAATAGTTTATGGATGACATTTGAGCGACGATAAAAACACCTTGAGAATGTCCACCTACACACTACGGTTAAATGAGGGGTATAAACAAGTGTGAGGAATTAGGATTAATATTCACAGTTGATAGTTAGGGTTAGCAACTGCATATAGGGTTTTCATCACGAACCACCATCAGCTACAATACTAAAACTATATCTAGCCAAATATAAATCAGTCAAAATTCAAGACCTATTATCGTAAATTTGATTAGTTCGTCCATAAATTATAGTCTCGACGATGTGTAAGTAGTCCGAAAACACATGTATGCTCATCAACCGTGGTTTGAACAACCTTCGAAACAGACATTTTTTTAAGTATTCTGCTTAATAACATCTGTGACACATTTGTAATACAATGTCCCAAATCGTATCCAATTCGACGTGGACAGGTAGACTGTTTACTTGTAATTTGTAAAATTATTTTTCAACTGAATCTTTGATCAGAATCACTGACAAATTTCATAAAGCACTTCCGTTGAAAAATTTGTTTAATTCTTGATTTAAAAACACAAGATTTTGTGGTATCTATGATAAATTTCAAGCGACATGATTTCACAATTATTATTCCTCGGAGGAAGATTAACTTTATTCTGTAACATTATTGATATAATTTTGTCTAATAGTGAACAACTTATTCTGATATATCATAAGTGTTTATGGATAGTCACTAAGTAGAGCTGCTTGAATTATGGATCATTTCATTTGGTATTTATAAGCAAAAATATGTTGATATTCACATCAAGACTCAATATTCGCTATGTTATTTGAACCTTCTTATCAAGTCCTATAGTAAAAGAAATTACCTTTAACCTATTTAAGCAACGATTAGACCTCTCATAAATACTTGAACATTTTGTCGAGAAACATTCATTATTTTTACAATAATTACATTATCAGACGAGGTTTTGTGGAGATTTTAGAAATTTCACTGATGGAAATCATGATTCAATTGAAGCTAGACCGCCATAGAAAACCTGGAAGCACTGGACTTCTCAGCAGTGCGCATCCATGATCCGCACCCCGCGAGATTCGAACCCAGGACCTATCAGTCTCGCGCCAGGCGCTTAACCAACTAGACCACTGAGCCGGATCCAACGGTGTTAATGTCTAACTTCAACCAATTCACGAAGTTGCTGAAGAGTCCCATACTAGGACGAAACGGCTGTCCAGTGTTCCCAGGTTTTCCACGGTGGTCTAGCTTCAATTGACTCATGATTGTAATCAGTGAAATAATTATATTATTTAACAATGAGAGATTTCTTTAGTATATATTACAATCTACCATGTAGTTTTTCCATACTTTAAACAATATTTCAATATTATTGTTTCTTTCATTTTCTTTAGTCTCCATTCGACGAAGTCATAGTCCATATTGTAAGTTTTATTTATTGAATAGAATTTATTATAAATTGTTTTTTCTTAATTTAGGGACAGAAAGGAGACATTGGACCACAGGTAACACATTATTTTAATACTTATATATAATTATAAAACATTTGATGAGAACAAACCAACAAAGAACACTCAAAATCACAATTATTATTTTCAGAAGGGGTTTTGTGGAGATTTCAGTAATTTTATAGTTGAATTCATAAGTTATTCGAAGCTAGACCACCATGGAAAACCTGGAAGCACTGGACGGCCATTTCATCCTATTATGGGACTCCTGAGCAGTGCACATCCACGATCCCGCCCAACTAAATTCTAACCCAGGACCTATCAGTCTTGCGCGCGAGCGCTTAACCTGAGCTGGCCGGCATCTAACGTGTTAATGTCTAACTTCAACCAGTCCAAGAAGTTGCACCAACGTGGCATTGATTTATAACAGGAATCGTCATAATAATCGTTGATTATTTTTTTTATTAAAAAAATATTCCCTCATTGTAATTTCAGGGTCCAGCTGGTCCAGTGGGCTCTACGGGTTATTGTCCAGAAACAATATGTCCATCAATTGATATGAGTTCACTGAAAGTAAGTTGTTATTTATCAATTATAAATGATAATACTTGAAATTTAGTAGAATGATTACGAACAATGCAAATAAATAACACGCCATGCAAGATTCACATTTACTTCAAAAAAAGAAAAAAACAAATAATATAAATTGGCTAGTTAGTAATTAACATTATAAGGCTTGGACAGTTCAATCTGTTTGATAGATTACCGTAAAATTAAAATTTTCATCTTAATCATAATTTATTATTAGATCGAAAGTTTTATTGATCTTCTATAAATTTCATCGATAACATCTGATCTCATTTCTTATAGAATAATGTAGAACAATCATAATGAATAGCATTATGCATTCATGAAGCAGACAGATCGCGCATGCATGAGAAAACGACCAGTGTAGCAGCAGCCTCAGCAACAGTAGATCTCAACATACACAAAAAGAGAAGCAAGATTCTCCGATATAACACAACATGCACCAGTCGAATCACACTTGACGGAGAAGATTTGGAAGATGTAAAAACCTTCAAATATCTGGGCAGCATCATTGATAAACACGGTGGATCCGATTCGTTGTATCGTAAAGCTGTTTCATATTTCCTTCTCTAGCAGCTTTTTCCGCCGTCGTTGCTAGTTCTTCCACGTACTTCTTCTTGTGGGCTCTGATGCTCCTCTTCACTTTCTTGTTTGCTTCTGTGTATTCAGCTTGTGCTTGGACTTTCTCTGCTCGTGTTCGGCTGCTGTTAATTGCTGTCTTCTCGTTCTTCCTTTCTTTGATCCTGTCCAGTGTTTCTATAGAGATCCATTCCTTATGATGATGCTTCTTTAGACCCAGAACCTCTTGACACGTTGAAGTTAATACTTCTTTGATACCTTTCCGGTTGTCCTCCATAGTGGTTTCTTTTTTCTTCAGTAGATCTTGTAAAGCTTGGAACCTTTCGTTGAGAGCTATCTTGAATTCATTGAGTTTGTCAGTATCTCGAAGGAAGGCTGTATTGAACCTTTGTAGTGCTGTTTGTCCACTTGTCCAGTTCTTTTTCAGCTTCAGTTTTAAATTGGCTACAACTAGGTGGTGATCTGAAGCTACGTCAGCACCTCTCCTGGTTCTCACATCTTCCATTGTCCTTCGGAATTTTTTGTTGAGACAAATATGATCTATCTGGTTCTCTGTAGTGTGGTCCGGTGAGATCCATGTAGCCTTGTGTATACGCTTGTGTGGAAATATTGTGCCTCCTATGACCAATTTGTTGAATGCACACAGATTTGCAAATCTTTCTCTCGCCTAGTCCATGTCGTCCCGTGATATCTTCATATCCGGTGTTGTCTATTCCGACTTTGGCATTTAGACCTCCCATTAGAATGGTGAGGTCGTTTCTTGGGCATTTCTCAATGATTGACTGCAGCCGCTCGTAGAATTGATCTTTAATGTCGTCGTTGGTGGGTGCATAACATTGGATAATATTCATTGTGATCCCCTCCTTCTTTGTTTTGAATGATGCCTTGATGATTCTGGATCCGTGAGATTCCCATCCTACAAGTGCATTTCGTGCTACTTTGGACAGCATTAGAGCAACTCCCTGAGTGTGTGGAGCATTTTTCTCTTCATGGTCGGAGTATAGCAGCACCTCTCCCGTATTTAGGCTTTTTTGTCCAGCTTGGGTTCAATGGGTTTCGCTGATTTACAGTACTGCCAAGTTGTATCTCCTCATTTATGATGCTATTTGACTGGTCTTCCCGGTCTCCCACATTGTCCGGACGTTTAATGTGCCTATAAAAATTGTTGCTCTGGTTGTCAGAAGGGGTATCAGCCTTGTGAATTCCAAAAGAACTCGGCTTCCACCATGAAGCGTCATAGTTCTTCTAAATGAAGACCTTCTAACTCTCAGGGCAGAGTTTAAATGATTTGAATTATTTTTTCTGGTTAGCGTTTTTTAGCGAGTTAGTTTTCTACGGGATGGGGTCGCTAACCCCATGCCCAACCCTCCTCCTTTACTCGGGCTCGGGACCGGCAGTAACTCTAGAAGAGCTACAGTCGGAGTTTGTTTTCAACAACTTGACATTCAAATTATGCACTTATAAGTCCATAGTTATCATATCTTTAAACGTAGCCTACTCAAAGCACTCACTTCACAATAAGTTTAACTGAATTGAATAAGCACATAAAATTACATTGACACCACTAAACATTCTTCATAGATTCTGTAAAAGAGTACCTGCATATGGTACAAATATATGTATGCTGAATTCACAATATACTTGCATTGTCAACAATTTATTGCGACTGAATAAAACCGATAAAATTCGACACAAAAAAAATAAAAGTGTTGGTTCATTAATATGAGGATGGCCCACGGGTGAACTCGAGGAAGGTCAGAAAAAGCTGAAGATATTGCATCCAATCGTCTTTTGGAAGAGTATTCCAGAATCTTTACGTGTAGCTTCCCTATTACATAAGTGCTAATAATCCCCTGTATGCAGATTGGAGGACTATGATGATGATTTCGTTTTTTACTAAAAACTATAAATACCTGACAGTTTTGTATCATATTTGACACAGTTTGGAATAGCATTCCAAACACTTGTCTTCTATCTTCTCATTTGCGACTTGGTAGGTTCTAGTGTTCGAGTTGCTCGAGTTATACATGGTATATTAAGAATCGAAATTCTAGATAGAACAAATAATGACGACCAATTTTCACACCAAAAATAATCCAAAACCTACCTATCTCCTCAATACAAGTTCGACTAATGGTTAGATTTTAGAAGAAGAACAAACATTAGATTGGTAGTGTTATGAATGAGAGCACAGCTGTGGACAACCAATTAATTGCTTAACATAAAATTACAGAATCACCATACCTTGAATACTTCATTAGCAAAACCCCATCATTTGTCCTTCCCATTTTGTATGATTCTTCCAAGTCACAATCTTTTCTTATTTACGTTTCTGTTTTCTCCAAGTCGACTTTCATAGCCTTCTGCTGACAAACATTCCCCTTCTGATTTATGTTACTACTTATAGTCTACCGACATAAGTAGCATACACCACAGTAGTACTTGCCACATTAATTGATAAAATGGTACAATCAGTAAATATTGTGACATCGTAACTGAAAAACACCTAATTTAATTGAAATTTTGAACTGTATTGTACACTTTCTATTAGCTTATAAGTTTTTATTAAATTGTAGTTTTGATCGTAAACACTGATGATATCCTTTGTCTGTATGATCATGGTTCCCTGATAGTATACAAGGTTCAAAGATACACTACTCAATCAATCTGTTTGAATTGAGATTAGAGAAAGCTGAGCTACTTATCCAAACCAAACAACCGTAAGATAATATTTTGCTGGAAATAAACCTCAATAACTGTTTGTAAAAATAGATATATTTGAGTTGTCAAGTCTTGTGTACCATGTACATTCGTAGTTCACAAATATTACGAATATATATATCATACAGGTCTTTTAATTTAACCAGAATCTTGAGTTCGCAAATATCTTACGCTGATTGCTAAACTAATGGTTTGACAATCTCCATGCGACCTCAAAGTCTTAAGTCTGATCCACAAGGGATTATGGGTGCTTACTGTTGAAAAGTGTTACACCGGGACGTAACAACAATCCAGCACTGATATCTCAATTGAAATCGGTCTATGACGAATATCATGTAAAAATAATTGAGACTTTATTTTCTCAATATTACACTTTAATTCAGTAATCTTAAGTTACAGCTAAAAAACAATAAGTAAATTAAATACTGTTAACAATTAACCATAATAGTTACTCAAGTACATTTATTTGAAAAGAATGAATTTACAACCCAATAATTAGTCACTATGATCTGAAACTCGCATCTTTCTTTATTTTCGCTTACAAACAAATTTGGATTAACACTATAGGGTGTTCAAGGTGAGACTGGATCAAGTGAATGGTGTAATAGATCATGTAAAACTATTGATGGAATTATTGGATTAAAAGGAATAAAGGTAAGTTTCAATAATTACTGATATCCTGATTGATTTACATCACCTTGAAATGACAAACAAATCAATAAGAATAATTAAATAGAAGATACAATTTACTCTCTATTAAGTTTATTATCAGTCTATATGAAAATCAATATTTTGTTCTAAATTGATTAGATAACAGAAATTAATTTTGATAAAATGACCTAAATGTGTGTAGGATTTGTTTTCTGTTCTTTTGTTTTGATCTGTTAAACTATATAGTGTTTTAAATAAGAACTTTCGTCTAAATTTGATCGAATAGTTTCACAATATTTAGTCGCCGAGTTAATGTAAGACATTAAAGATATTTCCTTGAAAAAGAATGGACGAGATTGCCAGGCGAAACGTTGAATTTACTTCAAATTCTTTCGCTGGGATTTTACAAATACAACATTCTTCCTCTTTAATATATACCGTTTTATTATATTCTGAATTACTATTGAATTAATGTTTATCCAAAGTCATAATCGAAATAATTGAAAATGGATCCATACAAACTGACATAAAATCGAGAGATAGGAATAAGTGAATAAATTACTAATGTAAAACAACATATATAAGTGAATAATAGAGATCCTATTTCCCAATATGCAACATGGATACAAGCCTTTATTATTCTGACCACGACTAGTATGCCTGTCGTCACATTACCGATTTGTGCTTTTTACTTATTATGTTTGTCTATGTAGTCTACTGTTATCACTGAATCATAAACCACCTTGACTGGTTTAACAATTTCGTATATGCATATAAATATTATTGTATATTAGAATAAAGCCTAATGAGGATCTAATCGAAAACAGTATTATTCGCTTATATCTATGTTGTTCTAATTCACAATATGGGAATTTTTCAACTTACTACTTACCAGTAGCAATCAAAATATAGCAGATAAATTACAATTTTTATTGACCAGTTGTATAATCACCACAGATGGCATATGATTATCACTACTTTAAAAAGACAATACAGATTATTGACTTTCATAATTCATGTCTAATGTACATTAACTGACTTTACCACAACAATATGTATTGCTGAATTTAGCTGATCTTCTGGAGAAAGTTATATAGGGCGTATGTCAGTAGTACGACAATTTAGCCAACGAGTTAATGAACCTCTCCGTCGGTTTTCAGAAAAGCGTCAGACTAAATCCAAATTCAGTTCCATTCTATAATATTTGGTTGGTAGTGGTCATGCGATAAATTAAAGTAAAGCATCTAGAGTAGTTTATGCTACCAAGTTTTCCTAATGGGACTCGATCTCATCTCTGAGATATGATTAAATTTATGACGATCCGAGCTAATAGCTTTAGTCTCTGTGTGCAAAAAAAAACAATTCCGTAACACTTCTGTTTCGTTGTTGGCTGAATAAGTTTATCGTTCAAAGTTTTAATCTACCTGTTGTGTTGAAATGATTATCATTAACTGACATGTTACCCTAATTGATTGAATATTTTTCGTTAATGCATATAGATACTGCAGCACATTAGAATAAAACTGTTTGTGACTTTAATCACGGATAATGATCACTTGATTTATACACCAATCGAAATACGACTTATTCAATATTAGAACCGTGCTAAACCAAACACGTTCAACCGGTATGAGCAGCCTAACGTCCTTATTGGTCTTTTGTTCGCCCAGCCCAACTTATCCAGTTGAGTCTAGAACACCAATAACAGCTTCAACTATGCGAATCATTTATTCCAAACAAACGTCGTTTATATATCAGCCAAATAGACCTCATCTCATCATGAAATAGGAAATAACATTTATACAAGATCAAGTCAAAAAGTGGCTGTGAACGTGGGAGACTGTAATCAATAAACTGAACATAATATAAGAACAGTAAATCGTATGATAATAATGTATAGGTCAAAATGAAGCTTATAATAAGAGGAATATAGATATAGATAATCTGGTTAGTGAATAGTTATATCATAAGAATATATAGATAATATTAGTCCATTAATAGGTCTCAGAAGTTACTCGTAAATTAATCTTCACTAGGATATAACAAAAACTTGATAAATATTTGATAGAAAGCGGTATCGTTAGTTCACATGTGTAGCTCTAACTTGGATTAACATTTATTTACTGAATATGATTGATAATTTACTGTTAATTTCAGGGTCTAAAAGGTGATATGGGAGATACTCTGATATTATCATTTTCAAAAGCCTTACAACTAATTAAATACACTATAAACATTACAGTAAGTTTAAATTATTATTAATTAAATATTTGACAAGTTTATATGAAATATTTAAAATGTCAAATAACTTGTAATACATTAAATATAAGAAGTTCAGCAAAAGGATCTCCTTTCAACGAATTCATTATCAAGCTGTATAACCGCATCGTCATATTTATTCCTTGTTCATACGATTGTACAGCTTGATAATAAGTTCATTAAAAAGAGATCCTTTTGCTGAACTTCGTGTATTTAATTAAATATAATAGTCAACATCGACAAAGATTTTCGTTCCAGGGTTCGAATCTCCCGAGACGAGATCATGGATGTTCACTTCTGAGGAGTCCCACAATAGGACGAAACGGCCGTCCAGTGCTTCTAGGTTTTCCATGGTGGTCTAGCTTCAATTGACTCATCATATCAACTATTAAAATATAATTGTTCATTTGTTTCATTATTGAAATGAGATAAATGATTGAATGGCACTCATGAAGCTAGTGATTTTTATGTTTTCTGACTGACAGTAAATACACTATTTAAATGGAAAAACTAAAAATAAACAAGATATTAGTCTTAATAGCTTATTATTTAAAGATCGTTTAGAGCACAGCTTGACCTTTACTAGACAATTACTAAAAAGTAAGGCGCATTTTAATAGTTATTTTCTCATATTTTAAGACTACTAACCATAATACACTTGCTACCCGGTTAGATATTAAGCTTAGGACTTAATGTTTACCGATAAACACCACAAACATTTGCTCACTAGATCAGTACATAATGGCGTACACCATCTTCCATTTCAGTCATTTAACATTAGTAACAATGAATGCTAGTCGAGAACAATATTATTGATTGATTGAAGTTGGAAATATGATGCAATGGATGGATACGAAGACGTTTAAAGATAACACATATGCTAAGATGTATGAATATGGATGAATGCTTTTGAAGGGTTCCTAATGAAGAAAAATAATTTTATGGTAGAATGCTATTTAGCTTTTTTTTCCTTTAAATTAATAAGATTTAAATAATAAATAGACAATTTAGATGATGCATTATCTACTTCTCATTTCTGTTTTTAGTCATCAAATTATCTTCCCAAAGGTCAAAAAGGAGACAAAGGTGAAGTGATTCAGAGAAAATTCATTCAGAGAAGAATATCTTCACAGAATAATAGAAATTTTCATCGACGCAAACGGGGACAACAACAAGATTATGATCATTTAACTTCTCGAATTCATCCTTTACAAGAAATTAGGAAACATGTAAAACATCCTTTGAATCAATCAACACATGATTCAAGTATCTTATTCACTGGATCAAATTTCGCAAATTTAGAAAAACAAAAATTTTAGGTGTAAGTTATAGAAATCAACAACTGGCTTTAACCTCATTTTTCCAAGTATAAATTTATGAATAGAAATTTCCTTGTTTTAAATTTATCTTCATTCACTATATCGGTCAACTGTCAAGAATCTAATCATTGAGAAACTTGAAAAGAACCACCACTGTGGTTTGTCTAATCTTCACCCTATCTGTTCTTTGACGAAGTCACACTGAATTATTATAGAATTTATATATCAAATATATTAAGTGATGAAAAATGGTGCCGGAGAACTAAGACCGCTCCGTGAAAATTTGTGGATAGATATGAATGTCACTGTTAAAAGACATTTGATGTATATTGTGTAACAATTTAAAAGTCAAATGTTTATAAAACCGGAATTTTATTAAAGGTATTATATATTCCATTATGAGAATTTATTACTGTAATTAAATACATGATATTGAATAAAGCAAGTACTATTGTTACCATTATTATGTTACAGATAATGCTAATCAATAAAATCTACGCCGTAGGTTGTGTCCAGATTGAAACTCGTACGTTCACTGTTCATACATACTTAAATCATAATTAAAAGCATCCTACCATCTATCAATAAACCCAATAAAAAATATCATTAGAGCTACCGTAGTGTGTGCTACTTATATGGACATAAGTAGTATATAGCGCGAGTCAGGAATATAATGTCTGGCAGCAGAAGATTGAGAAGATCAAGAAGGAAGGAACGGAAACGGAAAGCAACTGGCATAGAAATACAGGAACAGTGAAGTGTGAGACGATTGACTGATATTTTTAGAAGCAATCAAGTTTGAGACAATTGATCGATGTTTTACAAATTAAGTATCTACTGTATGGTTCTCAGATTTTACTATGTTCTGTAATTCTGTTGAAATACATTCGTTTGTCCCCACTGATATTTTCGTTCACTACAGTACCATCTAACTTAAATAAACCCATGACATTAATTTATACAGATGGTATTAGGAATATTTCCTGTTGTAAGGATAGTACTATCACTAGTAGTTACTACTCAAAAGTTTAACCAATCCATAAACATAGGCTAAATGAAGTCATCAGTTGAAATAATTCATGTACCAACAGAGACTGATGATTTACGCCTCAAATGTCTACAGATACGCAAATTATTTTTAAATTCTTACGTAATCAACATTATATCCGATATGTTCAGGTATTTTGTCAGTTATGTTAAGATTTCTTGATATTGAATTATTTTTAGTTATCAAAACTCTAATAAAAACTTGTATTCCTGACGTTTCGTCACCTACCGTAAACTTCCTCCTCAGAGTAAATAAATAATCGAATTTAATTAGCACAAGTTTAAATAGTACATTGTTTCATTTGTACAACTTAAATTTATGTTATTTTGATTCGGTTATGTATTTACTCTGAAGAAACAGCTTGTTTTAGGTTACAAAACGTCAGAAATACAACTTTTCTACTCAATGAGGTGTAACACAAAATATATTTATTATTGACTTTCTTATCAGAAGGGGTGTTTTGTGGAGATTTTAGTAAATTTTTATGGCTGAATTCATCAGTCAATTGAGGCTAGACCACCAAGGAGAACCTGGAAGCACTGGACGACCGTTTCATCCGATTGTGGGACTCCTCAGTATTGTGTATCCACGATACCACCTATGGTCCTGGGATCAAATCGTGGATGCCCACTGCTGAGAATTCTCATACTAGGGTGAAACGCCCGTCCAGTGCTCCCAGGTTCTTCATGGTGGTCTAGCCTTAATTGACTGATGAATTTAACTATTATCTTTCTACGCAATGCTCAATTTACTTGATACTATCAAGTTCAATCTTGATATTGATACTTATCAAAACTTCTTTTTATGTTCCCTAATCAAAAAGGTTAAAATACTTCATAATCCTAATGAATTCAAAACTATTGGTTCAATTCTACCAGTTGGTGCATTAGTTGTTACTGAATTCTTCAATTATGAAGTATTATCATTTGCAAATGATAATCAATCATCTAAATGGAATTTAAATAAAAATTTTCAATTGGATCAACTTAGTTCATTGGGTTTATTTATGAAAATTGAAAATATTCATAATACATGGAAAAGAATACATGTTGTAAGTTTAGTTAAGAATCAAGTTTGGAAAGTATTCTTTACATTAATCAGTTATGTTGTTCAAGTAGTGTTTCTTTTTTCCAAATAATTTAAAACATTTCATGAAGTAAACAGAACGAGTCATAATTGTGATAGGACTATGCGTTCAGACAGTCATTTGAATCTGATCTTGAATTTGATTTCGTTATAAACATCATAGTTTCTTAATGAAGTTTAGGTGATTAAGGTTTAGTCGTTATTTAAAACAGACTCTTTTTAAGGGGACATATATAAACATTCTTTCTTTGATGAAAATAGTGGTATCGACAGCAAACTAGGACAACTGGACAGCTATTTTTTTTTGAAAAGAAGATATAACATTCTTTTTAACTTCCCAGTTAGTCTTAACTTATTAATTACATATGTTTACCATGATTTAGTCTTCAGTTTCTATAGAAAGCCCACAATTTATCACGAAACTAAATTATACAATTGATAGAAAGGGTGAACGGGTGAAACGGGAGTTTTCTACCATTAGACTGGATACTCGATCAATATGTCATACATAGACTGGGTCAAGTAGTATCAAATACACAATTTATGACCAAAAACAGAAAACCAGAGTATAAACTACACAATACTTTGTTCGACACAATTACAAACGGTCTACATTCTGAAAGCCAGGACCAGGAATCAATAATAGGAAAGGAAATCTCACATTTATTAATCAGTTAGCTGAATGTATCCTTGTGGATGCTTAGTGATCAATCACATTTACGTTCAGTAGCCATACATCAACAATATTTAAGCAGAACGACTGTAGTAGCAGATATATTTCCCTCTTTGATTATCGTCAAGGGGAACTAGGGTTGATCACGTTGTCTTCATATATTAAATATACCATGCAATGCAAAAAATAACTTTCTAAAGGAGAAAAACTGGTGGCAAACATTCACGGATGAATATGAATAACAGTTAATCATTGCTGATAAGTTTTTTTGTACATAGTTTCTCAAAATATTCACATGTCAAATGGTACAACACAGAAGTTTAGTTACAATATTGCATATTTTGTGCTCAGAATCCTTTATTATAATTAAATATTTGTTACCGAATGAAATGATTAGGTGAAACTATAATTTATGGACGACATTCGAGCGACGATAAAAACACCTTGAGAATGTCCACCTACACACTACGGTTAAATGAGGGGTATAAACAAGTGTGAGGAATTAGGATTAATATTCACAGTTGATAGTTAGGGTTAGCAACTGCATATAGGGTTTTCATCACGAACCACCATCAGCTACAATACCAAAACTCTACCCATCCAAATATAAATCGATCAAAATTCAAGACCTATTATCGTAAATTTGATTGATTCGTCCATAAAGTGTAGTTTCGCTGATGTGTAAGTAGTCGGAAAACACAAGTATGCTCATCAACCGTGGTTTGAACAAACTTCGAAACAAATAAAAATGATATATTTGTAATATCCCAATGAGTAGAAAATTGGATTTTTCTGACGTTTCGTGGCTTAGTGTAAGTCACTTCTTCAGAGAATTAATTTAATTTGGTTATTTATTCTCTGAAGAAGTGACTTACACTAAGCCACGAAACGTCAGAAAAATCCAGTTTTCTACTCATTGGGATATTACAAATATATCATTTTTATTTATAACAATCAACCCAATGCTCAATTTATTCGAAATTATCAAATCAAACCTTGGTAATGACACCTACAAACTTCGAAACAGATATTTTTCTAAGTATTCTGCTTAATAACATCTGTGACACATTTGTAATACAATGTCTCAAATCGTATCCAATTCGACGTGGACAGGTAGACTGTTTATTTGTAATTTGTAAAATTATTTTTCAACTGAATCTTTCATCACGAACTGACATCAGCTATAATGCCAAGATTCCATTTACTCAAATGGATGAATGAATTTCGTGCCGAAATCTGAGAATCAATCAGTAACAACGTAGAACTCTGTACGTACGTACATCATTTCGAGTTGACACATCACATTAGCACAGAGATACAAATGTCGATTCAAATCCCATAGTGATAGAGGTAGAAAAGTATAAGCAGTCATCAGGAAGATTAGGATTCGAAGATATTATTCAAGGGATATAGTTCAGTGAAATAAATTTGGAAAGAGAAAAAATGGACACGAAGAATTCGGAAGAATTTAGGAGAACACAAAGAGTGTATGCACCTGCGCCATTGCAAACGATTTTGAGCCATGTCATCCAAAATCTGAGGCCTGTTATCTTATACTTGATTGGTTCATCCATAAATTATAGTCTCGCCTTCTAAGAATAAATCACTTATAAACTTGGATTCTTAATTAAACTTGCAAGTTTATGTTCAGTTAGGTTAATCATTTTAATTTTAAAAAGTCTTTTCATTTTTGTTTTTTTGATGCAAAATGTCACACAGAAATTCGGACAAGAAGTAACATTTGGTCAACATGATGTAAGTTTAAAACTTTCAATTGTTTTAAGACAATTTTATTCATTTTTCTTCTTAAAATAGAAGACAATCATAATTATAGAAGTAAAAAACATCTCATTTAAAAGTGAAATAATGATTTAGTTACGATCTTAAATGACTTATGATAAAAGAAAGCGGATCGAATAACGGTTTCTGATTCTTATAGAAAGAAAAACCAAAAACTGAAAAATGGTGATAAGTTCCCCTTTTTCAAATTCTCTTTAATACTCCTAGAGACAGAAATGTGATAAAAAAACAACACGCTTTTTAAGCAAAGATCGATAGTGGCTAGTAAGGGGATCTACGACGCGCGTTTCGTCCTATTTCTGACTCGTCAGCTGGATACACCTGCATCCCAGAGTTGATGTTCACTCCATGACTCGAACTATCCATCTTTGCTTAAAAGCATGTGACTTAAAGCTATATCCAGGCAATCTGCACAGGATGCACATATGCCAACAAGAGATTGATCAATTGCAGTCCTAAACAACAATAGGGAGATATAAGTAAAACAACACCAAGTCAATTTAAAACAACATAGTTATAACTGAAGTTTCTGTGGTCGTGACCATGTTCAAAGCTGAATCCAAGTTCACACTTGTTCGACTATCATAATCCACAATTAGGGGGAAGAATAATCGCTCCCAACAATTATATTCGTTATAACCTGTGATATCACTTTTAAAACAATTAATACCATTGGACGATAAATGATAGTGTTGTATAAGGGGAAATGATGGAAATTTTTCATTAACGGTTGGTGGATGTGAAACCATCATAGTTCTCTTAGTGTACAACTCAATTAAGTGACTGATGTCGTTGCAACCACCTGTAAACACAGGATGTGTGGAACACTTGCTTTGATCACATTAAGTCAACTGATGGGGGGTGGTAAAGGTAAACTTGCAAGTTTAAATGTTTCTAAGGGATTGAAGTTATGCAGTGTTTAAAAACCTATTCTTTTTGAATACTGTCTTTTATTATCTTTACTTTTCAATCATCGAGTGCAATGCACGTGTCTCTGCTAGTTCTGACTCCTTAAAAACAAGGACGAACTATAAAGATCCTGCCACAAGGTCTAGTGATAATTCAAGCATCCCAATCACTAAACAAAGGATTCTTAGGAACCCTAAACCAAGGTTGGAAGACGCATCTCTTGAAAGTAGGCAGAACACTGACTCCCACGGGACGACTCAAACGCATACTGACGATATCATTCCGACCCAGTTTTACTTCTCCAGTGCCATTAGTAAATAATAAAAATTCGGGATGAAAGAGCATCCATGAACAAGACCTTCGAAAACTATTCACTTTGATGATTAGGACAAAATGGCGATGATTGTATCGTATGCACCTCACTAATAGCAACAGACCCTATATTTATATGCGACCTCTGTGCAGGAAGGGTCCACTTTCTTTGTAACACTAAGCTACCCTTCCGATATTACGAGCTCACTATAAGCATCCAGTTCCCGTTGTCCTAATATGTCAGATATGTGGCCACGGACGTCAGTACCCCGGGAATAACCGCAACCCACTTGGATTACAGTGTAAACATATTAATAAATTTATTTACTATCCCACAGTACGCCAAGCCTCTATACGCACCAGCTATAGACAACGAGTGGTATTGGTAATATCCTAGCTGAACTGTGTATCCGGGCCAAATACTATGAAACAACCCCTCTATTAAAATTCAGGTTGAACTCCAAACGCAAGGTAAATGTGTTTTTGATAACTCGTAAGACAACTATCAGGGGATCATCGGACGTCAGGGTTTGACATAATGACCTTGTTCGGTAAGAAAGGATGCTAGAAAACCTACCGTAAACACTAAAATACCTAACAACATAGTGGTTCATGGGTTTCCGAAGCTAGTATGCACCAGTCTAGATAAGATCCATGTACTTCCAAACCAAGTAATCCAATAAAATGCAGGCCATACTGAATAGCATCTAGACGTTTATGAGTTAACGGAAGCGAATAAAACATACAGCTTGTGTTAACAAAGGGATTAATGATAAAGACTTCATCAACTTAGAAATATCAAAAATTTTATTGCTGACTTCGCTACATACTTTCATCAATGATTTTTGTATAGAGAAATGTATTACCAATCAATGATAAACAATTATGTTTTATTCTTAATTCCTAAATTAGTCTAATTTACAAATCTACAACAGTTCATCTTCCAAAGAACCTTCATCTAAAACTTATACCCCCAGATATAGAGAAAAAGTAAGTTGATTGTTATTTACTTCTTAATGGATTTGAAGATTTAGAATTATCTCAAGAAAAACTTGTTTTGAATCATAAGTTCCATGGAAAAAATCGCTAGTTAATTAAATTGAAATCAAAGAACTACGTTTAATAGTTTAATGTTATTTTTTCACAGTGGGGAGTCTTATATTTCTTTGTTCAAAATACAAGAGATATTTCCAAAGAGTAGATAGAAAGCATCTGGCAGTAGAATCAAGGACTCCCATCTCGTTCTATTCGATACTCGTCAACTGGATTTACCTGCATTCCAGAGTTGATGTTCATTCAGGGACTCGAACCCAGCTAAAGTCTTATTTATTTCATTTAAACACACAAATATTGGTACAAAACGCACCGAATATATATGCTCCATTCGATTTGCATAAGGGCTTGGATAATACAAGGACGCACAAGCCAATGCATGAAAGTCTGAAGTAGAACGAAATGCACGTCCTAGATCATACTGTAATCTACATCCCATCTATTCTCTGCTAACTTATGTCGTAATGGATCCACATATACTAACCAAGGCTGATCAAATTTCATTCAACATATCAACGAAAGGATAATCCAACCCGTTTCACATTTAATATTTCTAAATTATTAAAAAAATGTTTGCCTGATATATGGCATTATCATTTACAATTTTCTTTGTATTTTTGATTAAAATACATTCGTTCTGAACCTGAAGAACAGTTTAACAGACGTTTCTTGTAGGTTAATAACTAAGAACACTAGGAGAATACAACTTTTTGGCTAATATAAATATATTTTGACCATTGAGATTCTATCGGATCAGCATACATCTATTTCTAACACGATTTCTTCAATGACTCCAAATAATCCTACAGAGAACGACGGTTGTGAAGTATTTAAATTCATTTATCTTCCTTGAGACCATTAAATCATATTCGTCGAATACACTAGTGATTTCAATTTTTACTGATTCTTTTTATCGTTTCAGATAGTATTTGCATTTCATCCTGTTCCTTTGACTGGAGGATCATTTTCAGGATGGCATGGAGCCAATACGAAGTGTCATGAAACTGCTCTTCATCATCTTGGAATACCTGGTTTTAAAGTACTTCTTGTAGACAGAAATTTTCCAATAGAACGTCTTATCAAATGGCAATATCAACATGTACCTATTATAAATCTAGGTGTAAGTATTTCCTTTCAACAAACTTTAAACAAATAGTAATTTCACATTATTTTACACACTATATTTTTAATAAGTCTTGTTCTTGAGGGCTTAGAAACTGACTTTCTAATCATCTTATTGTCATCAGATGTCTTCCACCTTTGACCCCTACACAGAAAACAAAGTGCTGAAAGTATAGAAGAAACTTTACTTCAAAGGTTACCGCATGTACAAAGACCGAGAGTTATTTTTAGGATTAAATGTGACCTTGATATTCTAGAAGCTTCTGTTAAAAATGTTTAATTTGGTAACAATATCGATAGCTGCCCAATCAGGAAAATGAGGGCATAATCAATTGTTTTCTAGGATTCTCTCGGAAGTTTTTAAGTAAGGTTGATCGGTCGATATATTTTTGTGTAATTATGAAGGACTATAAACGATTTCATTATTCTTTTAAAGAGTCATTAGACTATAAATCACAGTCAAATTATTACGTATCTTTCATTACAAATTACAGACCAGTCACTTCGTTTTTAAATGACAAATAGTGAAATTAATCACCTTTCTCTTCACAAATCTAAAGATTTACAGACCGTTTTAAATTGATGAGCTCTTACCAATAAAAAATGAAGAAATTGACTAACATTGTCAGATTTTTAATGATTAACTAGTCAGTATTTGATATGTTTTGTTGATTGAACGCTACTTGTTATATCTGGTCGTCGCTAATTGCTGTGTCGGTAACGCTTATCACTTATACTCGAATGAGGGACCTTTGCAATTCCCACGATATGAAAGTAAGAATACAAAGACTGGTATAAGTGAAGATTTATTAACCCCCAAAACATGACGGCGACGACGACCCTAGTAGAAAATATCATACGCGAAAACAAAACCGAATACTACACTGAATAATCATCACATTGAATCAAAACGGAAGTAATGTTGAACAAAACTCATAATGGGTAAATCCATCTAATTTTGACTTTTCTTACCATCATATCAGTATTGTAATATGATAGTGTTCACCTTCATAGTTATACCGTTACGAATCGACTCAAACGAGAAATGTGGAACTATTGAATTTCAACTCACTTTATCATGCTCATTGAGAGGGAATATCAAGGTCTTCCATACAATTTGATGTTATGTTTTAGCTATGCAAATTATAAGTTTTATAATAAGAAAAAGCAGCTATTCAGTGTCTCCCGAGTTATCCCGTACAACATTCATCTTAATTCATTGTAATATTTGTGTGCTATTCATTAAGTGCGATAGCCAACATCCATTTTTATTAATTCACTGTTAAATAACATTCATTTGCATAATTCTATTGTAAAATCCATTTGTATTCCCACTATTTCAGTCAAGTATGATATTTGTCGAGTGTGTCCACTTGGTTAATTGTCCAGTTTTTGAACAGTGAATAAAATTTTCATCTGTTTTATCTTGTTTATAAAACTTAATTGTTTTGCGCTGTGAAAAATGCTGACATTTTGTTTACTACTACTCATATATAAATAAATTATTACAGAGTCAAATTGTATTTTCGAAATGGAGAGATTTCCTATACGGTATTCGTTCGAATATAACGTACCACTGTACGACTTATATGGTATGCCTGATTTACAAGTTCATTCTAAGTAAGTAAACCTCATAATAATACCTTGTTACGCTTCATATACATTATTTACACTATTTGTAATAACTGTATATATATATATAGGATGCATAACTTCAAAAATATCAAAAATCCAATTCTTCCTTTGAATGAATTCCCATTACATTGGACTTTAAAAATGATTAAAAGTAAGCCGAAAAGACATACATGTCACATCTCCATAAGTTATACAAGTTGTTTCGAATTCGTAAATATATTATGACAGATTATTTAGGGGACAATATAGCACACACCTGCTGGGATCATCGGGTAAGTAATAATGAAGTTACACTCAGGGTATTAGGGAATGATGGCGGTAAATCAGTTGATGACCACGTGTTACGTATGCTTGAACACCGATTACCACGACGCGCAATGCTGACTAGTGTAGGAGACGGCTGGAAGAAAGTTAGGGACGACCAAACCAAAACGTGGTATCAGTTATTGAGGTCACTAATTTCTAATCCGAGCCATAATGGTAGATACAGACTACTTGGTTGCGGTCCGCGTGACTATCGTAACCAATGTTTGGAGACTCAGGGTGATATGGCTGAGAATCGATCATAATCGTGTAGGTGTATACGCCATTTGCCTTCCCTTAAATCGTGAGATTAAAATTACTTAATACCTTTTTTCTAATTCTTTCTTCCTGAGCTATATCCTGATACACAATCCTTCTTTTATGCATTACTACCATTGAAGTAACTACTTCCATGAATTTAGTGTCCATTTCGTTGTTCTAATGAGGTGTGGCAACTTGAACCGATGTATATATGTGCCTGGTCCTACGTTGTAGCTGACTGACTACAATGTAAATATACTAAATTTAAAGAATGAAAGAAGTAAAAAGATTATCGAAAAATTACTGATAATTTTTAGTGTAAATTATTAATTATAATTAACTAATACCCGATAATCACATTGATTGATCACTGAGTAGCGACCAATGTCATATTTATCAAGTCTAATAATCTGACATTAAATAATAGGCTACGCGATATCATATCACTCAGACTAGTGGCTACCTTACAAGTTGATTAATAAAATTCGACCGACATTAAAAGACCAGAAAAATATGACACTAATCACACCTCAATGATTAATCAATGTAAAAATCTCAGTTCTACTGGGGGTCACTCATGGATCCAGTCTCTCAATGATAGCTTCCCAGACTTTGAAGCTGGGTGACACGAGTTTAAGTCCTATGTGGAGCATCAATCCCTTCAGTACTTTAGGTACACACCCCTGACGATTACTATCTAACATGAAGTCTAGATGTAAGATTTCCTGTCAACTAATTCCAACCCACTTAGCATCGATTTCTGATGTGTTTTATCCATTGATAAAAAGAAAAGTCGTTCACTTTTTATATGACACTATTATTTAATAGTATCTGTATGGGCAGAAAACTTACTGGTTAGGTTCTTCATTAGTACATTTTAAAAATTATCTAAGTAAATTGATTGAAATGAATTTTTAGTGCAGTAAAACTACATCCATTAACTAATGATAATTTACCTAAGGAAAATATGCACTATTAAGCTAATATAACATGAATTAGTCTTCTAAATTACAACAATTCATTCTCAAGCACCGATAAATTGCCTCTGATACATTCTAATTTATAGACAATTTCAAGTAGTTACAAGTATTTGACAGAGATTATTATCAAAAAATATACCCATCTAGAAGACAAAACCATAGTATTCAAATATCATCAAAGTTAAAGTTAATAAAAATGGCTTGTGTAGAATAACAAATATCTCATTTAACAATATTTACGTGCTTTAAAAGTTAATTTAGATCAATTGATCTATTTATTATTGGGTTACTATGGAGCATATTACATGATTAGCTGAATTCATTCATCAGTATTGTGTCTGAACAAAGAATAACTAAATAAAATATACCTTTAAAAACAATCAGTGTTTGTTCTAGTGAGAAGCAACGACCAGTGGAGTTCAGCCGGGTCTGTTGTGAGATAGTAACTCACTGAATACAATGGAGGGTGTGCCGCTCAATTTCGTGGATTAGTCGAAGTCAGACATTAACACCGTTGGATGCCAGCCGGCTCAGTGATCTAGAGGTTATGTGTTCACGCACGAGACCGATAGGTACTGGGTTTGATTCTCGCGAACTGCTAAGAAGCCCCACACTGGGGCGAAACGGTCATCCAGTGCTTTCAGGTTTTCCATGGTGATCTAGCTTCAATTGACCCATGATCTCAACTATCAAAAAATAAACTTCATTGAAATGATTTCAAATATTCATTAATATGATAACGTATTAAACTCCAAATAAATAAAGCATTCTCTTTGTTTTCGTTAAAAAAACAGGAACTTCTGGCTTGGAGGTGGTATTACTTTTGGATGTGATGGATGGACAACAAATTCATCAACAAAATTTGGTCTTACATGGTCATTTGATCATAGAATAGGTCAAGTGAAAATCAACTATGCAAAATGTGATTCAATCAATTATTTAATGTGTTATAAACTTGTGAAATCTACATTAGCTTGATGCTTCAGACTAATGATAATATTTATGATCATTATTTTATTAAACTATAAACACATCTACTAGAATTACTTAATTTAATCAACCAGTTAATTTTTCATGTAAAGTAAATGGAAGCCAAAACTGTCTTACTTTCAAGATTTTGAAACAAAAAATGCAATCTACTTTATTATAATTGAGTAGTATACATTTAGAGATAAATGTTGATGTTCAACTTCTTGTGCTGAAACGTACCATTGGATTACCGGAAAAATGAATTTGTCGAAAACTTGAAATCGGTCATTAAATTACACTATTTTAAAAAGAAATTACAAACGACAACAGCGAAAAGAATGAAAAAAGAAATGGAACTACGTAACAAACGTCATATATAGAGCAACTGTAGACCGATTGCTGGTTAAGTGGAATTGAACAAGTGACCGATTTTTCAAAGTACTAGTTGAAAACGACAATTTTATTGCAACCAAATTGAGATCGTGTATAAGTTTGTTTCACGATTACTCGACTAGTATAGTAGTTTTCTGTTCCTTGAACAATTCTGTTACTCTGTGGTTAAGGTTATTTTATACATTACCCTAATACTTCTAATATGCTGTGATCATCAGATGGTGATTAAAAACTGATAACTCAAGAAAAACTTTTGAAATGGTCTGTAACGATAACACCATAGAATGTGAAATTATGAAAATAAATTCATCCTAACCATGAGTAAGACGTAGAAAAACTCAGAATAAGTTGTATGGACAAATCCCACGAAAAAATGACTGTATTAATAACTATCTTTTATCACAGAACGTAATCTGAGAGTTCATTGATCAAATATTGATTGTTTGTCGTAGTCCATAACTTTATTTAATTTTTTGTGACGTGTTTCTAAGAGAATAATGTGAAGAGGACATAGCAAAAACTTTCCATTAAATAATGAAATAAATCATGTAAGCATCGGCCTAGAACAATCCTATACATTGAATAAAGACTGGCTACGAGGATACTAATCAGTTGGCCAGCCGTATATTATACCAAGAGCCAATAGGAAGACAAAAAGACTGTAGTAGGGAACTCTATATCCGAATCCTAAAGTCAAGTCAAAATAGAAATTAAACGGTTCGGACCACAATACATAATATATGGGAAACTGAAATAGGACATTTAGCGTTGTAAATTGGGATACAAAGCTCATACTTAAGTTACTATAATTATGGTATAGAAGATACGACAATAGTTTAGGTATTAAACGAAAACCTACTATTAAGGAAGTACAGAGGTCATATGAACTAAATGTTAGTAATTACGGATTAAAAACTAAGCGTACTTATGTCCCATAAAGTAGCTTTCATTCTCTGCTTACTTTTTTTTCAGAAAAAAAAAACAGAATAAATCTCTTGCGTAAAATCGATTACAGAGATCTGTAAAAACAGATACAGAAATTTATAATCAGGATTGAGTATGGCTGAGGAAAACTTATTATTTGAGAGGGGATCTAATGTAACTAGATAGATTGAACAACCGTAAGAGAGAGAAAATTAAACTTTACAAACGAGCTTTTATACATTGAAAAGTGTCAGAACAGAAGACAACTGTAAAATATGCTTGTTAATACTTATATACTTATCATAAATACCCCACCATACCTTTTCTGCACATATTCTTTATGGTTTTAAATGAATCGAACATTTATACTGTCTAATATAAATAGTCTAATACAAGCTATCTTATTATTTATCCATTATCTAAGAAAGTAACTGTTCTAGGTTACCTTGCTAAAATTTTATACAAATACTGCTATCATGAATTAGAACTTTCCAATCAGTGAGAAAGAAACAAAATTTACGTTTCACTAATTAATTCTGATGGTTTTTACCTAAGATACAGTAAAACAGAATTTACAAGACTACCAACTTGTAAATCACAACTCGAACAAAGTCCTTCTGTATGAAATAATCCTGCGTTGCCGAATGAATGAATGAATAATTGAGAACAGACACGTATAGATTATTTGATAAGTGCATAAATTCTAAAACCAGAAAGCGTTAATGTGAAAAAAGGCTTCTTACGACATTTGTATTCACAATGTTAGTTTAAGGGAAGGGTGTTGAATCAGATTATCTTTTGTGTCGATGATTAAACTACTGTTCTATGGCCCGATGTTGTGATGTGTAGACCTATAATAAAAAAGCTGTTCAAGTTTCATTCGACTTCCCAGTAGTTGAACAGATCTACGATGATAATTTTTGACCTTGATTTTCAGAGACATTTGTCCGATGCATATTACGTCAGTCTGGATATTTTGCAGATACAATAACTGGGAATCCTTCGAAACCACATCTTTTATAGGAACTAAGTTGCTTTGCAGTGTGCCTGATTCCCTAAAGTATACCATGGTGTTGAATTTGTTGGGTGCTCTTCTGATTTCTTCAGATGTGTATCGTTAGTGGATTGACGACCACTGTGGTAAATGATTTCAGAGTACTTTACTGGTACTGTTTAATACTGTTCCCTATTTTTGGACAAAACGTTTTAGGTAGTTATTTGTTTTAAGAATTTTTGTTATGTCTGTCAGTTTTCCTATCATTTCTTTCCATTTGTCATAAATGTGTGCCCTTCTTAAAAAAGGGGAAACAACGACAGCTTTGCATTGGTTTGGTAGGAGGACTTAAAGTACTGATAGTAAATTGAATTTATTCGAATATCCTTCAAGATTAGAACGAATACTTTGACAGGAATTGGGCGCCGAGTATAGAGAAGACATTTTTATGTGAAAATTATATTTGGAATAATCTCAGCGATTGAAATTTAAATCATTCCAACATTTTGTCCAGCTAACTTGTCTAGAATTCTCGAGGGTAATAATCAAAATCATCAAAGAAATATATAGCTTTTAACAATCACAAATTGATACTGTGTTAAACCAATCACATTTGGGTGTCGATTTTTGTAAAATAAGATAACATGAGTCAGTTACATGGTAATCATGTGAAAAGTTCAAGACATAGAAATAACTTAAAACGAATTGTATGTGTAAGATTAAGTTCATAATTATTGACATCCGGTGTTAACATGTTTTATATGAAGGAATAAATAAATAAGAGTGCAAGTTCAAGGTTGAAAAATTGTTACTGAATCATTGATAATGCATGTCAATTGATACCCCAAACGCCTAGTCAATTACATAATATACAACTGAAACATATATGTCGGCACAATATTTAATTAGAAAAACAAAAGTCTCAAAATGACTAAAAATGGTAACGGAAACATTAAATCATTTCAGCAACTAAATCACTGTCATCAAGCACATAAACACTATGGCTTTTGTAGCTTACCCTGCATCATTTCCAGTCTATGTACAATTGTCTTCTGGTGATTACGTAAGCACTGGTAGTAAAAGAATAACTAAGTTTAGATTGGAAAAGCGCTCCGAATAGAAAGGCAAAAGACATTAAACTACAAACCTAGGTCACATGCGAAACGTAACATTTCTGATCTCCGTCATTCTTAAATGAATATTTATATTATTGAAAACATAAAAGCTAGTACGACCGAGCAGAGAAAATAAAGAGATCACATTGTGAAGAGATAAAGGAGCACAAAGGAGCGTAGTCAGAGAAGTAAAAAATCAACAACACATATCTTAGTGAAGATTAATTTACGAGTAACTTCTGAGACCTATTAATGGACTAATATTATCTATATATTCTTATGATATAACTATTCACTAACCAGATTATCTATATCTATATTCCTCTTATTATAAGCTTCATTTTGACCTATACATTATTATCATACGATTTACTGTCCTTATATTATGTTCAGTTTATTGATTACAGTCTCCCACGTTCACAGCCACTTTTTGACTTGATCTTGTATAAATGTTATTTCCTATTTCATGATGAGATGAGGTCTTTTTGGCTGATATATAAACGACGTATGTTCGGAATAAATGATTCGCATAGTTGAAGCTGTTATTGGTATTCTGGACTCAACTGGATAAGTTGGGCTGGGCGAACAAAAGACCAATAAGGACGTTAGGCTGCTCATACCGGTTGAACGTGTTTGGTTTAGCACAGTTCCAAGATTGAATAAGTCGTATTTCGATGGGTGAATAAATCATGTGATGAAAACCTAGCTTTAAGGTCACAACAAACAGTATAGAATATGAAGTACAAATCAGCTATCAAAAGAATTAAGGGATTCTTCTTTCAGTTTAACGAATTCCCCTCAATTTTACTAAGAATGTAAAAGAGAATTACATCAGGATTATAATCGACTTCTATTTTAATTTGTATCTAATAAGGTCTTACATCACCGAGACATACTATCACTAGCACTGCAAGCAGGTAGAGACTACCAACACATAACTGCATGAGAACATTTTGAGAGATTGCAGACCTTTCTCATCCTCAGGTGCAACAGGGTATTTGTGAACACCTTGGAGATATTCGAAACCTATAGTTTCAAATCCTGAACGGGAAGACTTAGCATCGATATTCGTCTTTAATTAGCCGGTTCTACTATTCCCTAATCCCAGTTTCACTCGTTGTTTGCCAATTATATTCTATTTCGTTGACCATCCCTGATACCATTGTCTCAACTTTTCTGCTTTTATCTTGTAAACTACCTCTGTTGTCATGTGAGAAATTGAACTGATGCTCACGTGGGCAAACTGCTTGTTACAATAATTAAAAATACTACCTGGAAACGGAACCGAAGAAGCTTAATGAACAACCTACAGCAAGTTGGCGACAAATATTTTTAATTTTTCTGGCTGGTTAACCATACAATTTAACAAAAAGCTGGCTTTTACACGACAAGAACATATATTTGCTTCGATTATTTGCCTAACGGACTAAAGAACCGGGACTGATAACGTATGCAAGAATTATATGCAACAGTAAATCAAGTCTTAATTCATTGGAGAGTTAGTGATATACAAAACTGATCTCCACCAATTACTATTGACGTCTGTTTATGATTAGCGTGTAAATTTGTTACTTTATAAGATGAAAAAACCCCTTCCCCTGACTAGTGAATTTGTCATTGATGTCATTTAATTCAAAGTTTTTAGTCAATAACCTGGTCTCGTGAGTAACTACATCGTATAAATGCATTTCATTCATTGGTCAGTATTACATTTATTCATTTTAACAATTACAAACCTTGATGACTTATTAAATCATTTACTGTACAACAGGAATTATTAGTAACATAACATTATCGGTTACTAAATACAATCCACATCGGTTATCCAAACAACTTTCATGAGTCGTTAGATTTCGGTTATTTCCAATTTTTTAAAAAAAAACGACAAGACAAAATACTTGGTCAATTAGAATATTCATTCATTTCACTACATTTAGATTTAATATTCGTTCATTAATATTTAAAAAAAAAAATAGGGATAGTAAATAATAACCATGATAGTGATTATTGAGACAACTATTCAAACTTAGGAAACAATTTAATGATTTCATCTATAGTGTACAATTCATTCACAATAATGAAGAGAATAATAATAATAATAATAATAATAATAATAATAATAATAATAATAATAATAATAATTACACAAGTATTTTTCTCAACCACTTGTTTGTTTTTTAATTGGAAAATACGCTTTTCATATTGATAAACACGTTCATTCTCATTTCATTTTATACAAAACTGATAATAATAATAATAATACTATTATTGTAATTGTAATTTTAAAAATCATTCCAAAATTGTTCTTTCATTTCATTTCAATGTATTAAAGAAATTAAAGAAAAAATTTTTTTTAATCAGAAACGATCAATATTGTGTTGGTGATTATTTTTTTTTACAAAAATTGTATTACCTGTTATTATTTATTGATTTTAAACGATGTTGTTTTAAACAATTCGATGTACAAAAATTATAATCCATATAATTGAATGGAACTTTACCACTGATATCACAACCGCATTGAAAACAACGACTATAAAAGCAAAGAAGATATATATATATATATATATATATATATATTAGTAGATGATTTTTATATGGATTGAAATGAAAGACATTGAATGATATAGATCAAAATTGATCTCAAACTCATAGGATTATTCACTATTCACCTTCTCTTAAATATTTTAGGTTTTAAAATGATCTCATCCTTTCTATTATGCAAATTCATTAATTCTTCTCGAATTACATTGTTTATATTTAATAGTTTCTTTACTATCATTATTACTTAAACATTTGTCTATTTGTGTTGATGATACAAGAAGATAACGTGAATTGCTGCACATAAACACGTTGTTTATAACTGACTGATGTGGATATATGATACTTCTTAACGTTTACCTATAAGGTCTTGATGTAGTAATAGTAGTTCACAGTGTTAACAAGTGTTTTTTTTCTATCCGGTTTAAACAAAAAGCCTAACAATAAAGAAAAACATTGATGACTGATGTAAAATATGTAAAGAACAATCATTTTGGAACTATGAATAGAAAGGTTTTGTCATTACTATTTCCATTACCTAGATAACTATAACTAAACATTTTGAATTCTAAATTATATTCATTCAATTAATGAATAATGATTAGCATAAACGAAAAGCAACTAATGTAAATTAATTGATTTTTATCAAGAAATAAATAGATTGTACTATTTGTAAGTAAAAAAGGTTAGCATTGACGATTTCATTGAGAAATTAAAATAACTTCTTGTAGTTCAATGTTTAAAAGCTAACTTTCTAGTCTCCAGATATCAACACTAAACCCCAAACAGAAAACACAAATCGAAAGTATAGGGGATGCTTTACCTCGAAGGTTCGTTCATGTACATAAAAGAAGCACATTCATAAAATTATATTTGACCCTGAAGTTCTAAATGCATCTGGAAAACAAGATCGTCAATCACAACAATAAAGATACCTCTTGAAAATTTCTAAAGAACACTAACTAATAACGGTATATTCAGCACTTTCCTACACTGTGAAGAGATTTCCGAAGAATCATCGAGGTTATCTAACGAGTGAACTGTTACACTTAAATTCATAAAATAATGCTCAAATTTTAATGAGTGATAACAAGCACTCATATCTTACGATTATTGTTATTTATACACCGGAAAAGCGAATATTTCTTATCTAGTTATAAAAATTTCTTAATAATTTATTTAATTCCACATGATAATGACAATTTTCAAGTTTCCCTTTTGTAAATGCAGAAACAAATAAAATAAATGTAACGTATTAAAACTGAAATCTCATTAAATTTTCAAAGTCATTAACTTATTTTTTTTCGAAATACATGTTCATAAGACTAAGAACTAGGAAAAACGATTTCTTGTCATACGGGCATGTGATTTCCGAACAACAATTAATCTTCTCAGTATAGGGGATTCGTGAAGGATGCTGGAGTTTACACAATTGCAATCACGAACTGATCCTAGCTTGACTACCATTGAAAACTTGGAAGCATTGGGTGGTTGTTTCGCCCTATTATAAGACATCTCATCTAAGCGCATCCATGACCACGCATCCAGGAATCGAACACGGGACCTTTGATTATTCATGAGAATGCTTAACCTCTAGACCATTAAACCGGCATCCAATGGTGCAATGCCTGCCTTAAATCAACCCATGATCTTGCGCAACCCTTCATCAGCAGGTTGAGATACATAGATGTCTTACACTCGACAGCGGTCGATCTCCACTAATCAGGATCTATTTAAGATCAGTTCGTGATTTCAACTGAGAAAAAATAGACCTTTTCCATCACAACCCTCCAATAAGCACTACAATGAACATGTCTATTCATAGAGTTCAGCGACATAGAAAAATAAGTGATCTGAGGTTGATTTTCATCACGGACTGTGACATAAGTTGAAAGCACATTGTAAGATAAAATATTGAACAGATGTTTCACCCTAACTTAAGACAGCAGTGTGGAACGATGATCTTGAACACGATTGACCGAATTTTCATACTATTTTTATACTACCGAATTAAAACCAGTAAGGAGATTATATATTATCTTTGCATATATTTAAAGCTAAAATGTTTTAAAAGTTTTCCTTAAGGATTAAAACATCTTTTCTCAGTAAAAACTAATCCACTCTAATTTTAGTCACGTTATTTTTGGTAGACCAGCTAAAAACAACCCGGTATCTAATATCGATGATTGAAACTTTCAACGTGCTCTTGATTGGAAAACAAACATGATTTAATCCCAACTAAGCCGACATTGAACATTTGCAAATAAATAAAAATATACACATAAACATATTTGACATTACCTGAATACCATGAATGGTTCACCAGTCGCAGAACCAGAAGAAATCAAACGACGTTCTGTCACGATAGCACGCTAATGTATGTTATTTTATTTTAAAACCCAAGGGAAAAAAACAAAGAGAAATGGATAGGAGACCTTAATTCATCACAGGTAACAAAGATACATATATCGAACAGCAACCAGGTAAATAGAACTGTAATAGTGGGAATAAAAAATATTGTAGTCATGTGTTCAGTTTTTCCATTGTTGGCATTATGATTTGGATGTGATCAGTCTCTACTAACATATCTGCATCCAGAGCAGATGGCATCGATATCTTCAATTACAAGTTGTAGCAAAGTTTGACCGTGCCCGGTAGCGTGGTCAGTAAAGCAAATTTAGGACTATTTAGGACTCGTCAACTGGATTCAGGTGCCTAAGTGTTGGTGTTCACATTGTCACTCAAGCCCAGTACCTATCACTGCAAACACGAAGTTATCCAGTAGATAGCGATAGATTTTCTGGAAAAACTATCGATACTACTCAACTATCCGAATAATAAATAAGTGTAACAAAGTTTTAGTTGTCATTCTACAACTGACTGAAAGTCAAATGCTCTAATCATTACATCACTGTTTCATATTATTGTTAAAGCTGGTAATGGGGACATGAAAATGCTGGGATTTCCATGACACAAGAAAGAAGACAAAAATTGATGACAAATGAGGAATTTATTCACCCTTCAGAAAAAACACGACGATGCTTTGGCTAAAATACATTTAATTATACACTAATCTTAGAGAGATGATTAGTCACCAATAACCGAAATATGGGAAATACAAAATTAGATATCACAATGTTGCTAAAGTGAATGAGATTTACATCAAATAAATGTAAAATGATCCAATGCTAAACAAATACAACACCGAATTAGGACGTGATCTCATGACTATTATCTTTTTGAGAACTATTGATTTTATTGAAACGACTATTGAAAACTAGAAAGCATTGGATCATTGTTTCATCCAGTATAGAACTACTCATACGTGTAACTATCCACGACCCGCCACTGGAGATCAAACCCAGAACTTTTAGGTATTATGAAGAGCACTTAGTCTTTAAATCACTGAGTTATCATCCGATAATTTACATTTCAAATTATTACTATTATTATCAAGTAAAAACAATATTCACTTTTTCGCGATCGGATAAAGCTAAAAAACGTGCTTGTTCTTCAGCATCTTTCTTTTGTTGTTCAATAGCTGCACGTTCTGCAGTACGTTTTTCTTTTTGTCGTTGTTTTTGTCGTTTTGTGCGTTCACGATCACGTTCAAGTTTGGCAGCCTCTTTTGATGGATCCAGTGGAGCAGGTATCTAAATATGGATTTAGAAAATATATTTTTAAAACTTTTTTTTTAAATCAGATTTAACAAAACATCTGATGAATTTTTGTGCAGTGAAAAATAATGTGCGAAACAGAAACTAAATGAAAAACTGTCTACATCTTGTTCCCAACAATCTTAAAATTGATTTAAATATGCATTATGCGTGATCATAAAATAAATTATTGGAAAAGATTGCCCAAGACAGAGTTCTATGGAGAATGCTAATGGGCGGCCTATGCTCCTCCACAAGGGGGTAACAAGCTTGGCATATTTTAACGAATAATCAAAGGTGTTTGTGCAAAAAAATTATTCTAACACTCATAATCTTAATTTACAACTCTGGTTCAAATCTTAATAGCTAAAGCAATCCGGTTTTATTTTACTGAAGTAAATAATCTAACACATAAGGATTTATTAATCATGTCAAAACTGTGTCCACCGTAAATCCATTATTTGTAATTGTTAATTGTTTTATAATCAAACACTGTTTTCTAACTGATTGATAAGTCATTAAGGATCGTCAGCATAGTTTAATTTTACCAATATATTCAACATTAAGATATCTATGATATGAACAATTGATAATTAAAACAATTAACATATCTAATTGTTGGTCATGTTTGGATGACCAAGATGATGTTCACGTACTAAATAGTTTCTTAGTTTCACGTTGGTGAGAATGAGAACTTTCTGTTATTTTAAGCCGGAATCCTCTATGATAGTTACTCTTAATTTCTACTTCAGAGAAAAAAACCCTTACTTCTTATAAATTCATTATACTCTTGAAAGGTTAATTTTCTTCTACATCCAAGAATTTCGTAAATCTTTATAAATGAAATAAATAATTGTTGAAGTGAATTAATATTCTTAGGTCTATTTCAATAAATCTTCAGAATAAAATCTGTCTTTTCAATTACGCAGAGGTAGGAAGAAGACAAGGGGGATATCTGAGTAGAAGCTAACAGTTTTTCACCTAACTGACAAATTGATTCATTTATCTGTCAGTCATAATCAATGTCATTAATGTAATATAATTATATATACATATATATATATATATATATATATATACATAGAAGAATCAGTGACACTACCCAACTCCTTGAACCAAAGTAGGTGAGGCGGAGTTCGAACATGTGACCTACACTCGGATCCAAGTTAGGTGCTACAAATACTGAGTCATTACACTTGACAGCCTTAAAATAAATACTGAATAAAACATTTTTAATTATGCAGTACAAAAAAAATTGTAAGTTAATAATTAGTATAAACAACTCACTTTAGCTTTTTCATAATCATAACGATTCGGATGATGAAATCGGAAACGTCGAAACACATTAGCTATTGATTTTTTATGCAATCGTGTAGCTAATTGATAAGGTGTTATACCATCCCCATCACTAAAATGATAATAAAAAATAATAATTTATAAATAGGATTCGCTTAATTTGTCTGTTCAGATATTTCAAAACTGAGGTTTTGAGTAAAAACATTGCTTTTTTTAAGTGTACAAGTTAAGGAAAGCAGAATCCAGACTAACAGTATGAGCAAGTATTAGAATATAATTAGTTGATTTCATTACTAATTCGTAAGTTATATTATCAATCGCAATTACAACGCAGTATTGAAGGATATATGTATATTATCAATCAACAATTTATTAATAAGAGTAAACGTTTTCGGTAAAAGGTATATATTAGGGACGAGCAAACAGGAATCGAGAATCCGATGTTTAGGCTATTGTACAGTGAGAAGTAAAAATACCTTCACAAACATAGAATAAAAACGATAGCGCAAAATATATAAAACCCTTAATTCAGCCTCTTAAGACGGTACATAACAAGCTAACCGGCACTATTCCTGAATTCAAATCATAAATCCTTAATAATGAAGAAACCCTAACCTAGTGGCACTAAATTTTAGGGACAAAGTAGTCAGATAGTGCCTATATTTCCCCAATACACCACGTCCATGTGATGGGTTTGTGAGCCTTCGAGAGTGGATTTCTAATTCAGATAAGCCCATAGGGTTTTCCGAGTAGGACTTCACCAACCTCGAATAGCTGGAACAACGCAACACTCTTCCATTACAAACTATCCATTTATAAACGCTATTTTCTAATTGACCAGAAACTAGCTGGAAATTTGTCGAAATTCTTTTAAGCACATCCGTATGCTATATTTTTCATAACTTTTCAGTTACAAATATATAAATACTATTACATATAAGCATCATTGAACATATTAACAGCTGACGACTAAAATTCTAAAGCATACCATTATTATCACTATGGAAAATAACATTTTATCATCATATAACTGAAGAGAAACTATGTCTACACTTATTGTCAGAGAAAAACTGTTGATAAAATTAGAAGTTAGCAGGTTATGTTTTGCCATTGTAGTGACAATGAAGAAGACAATATTAGTCTTTTAACTGTAAAATCAAAATGAATTCAAGTTAACAGACAAGATAAACGTTTACTAGTAAAAAAATTCACTTTAAAACAACCTGAGAATGTTAATCAAATTTATATATCTAACTATTGATAGTGTTTTAACTTTGATAGTAATAAATAACATTAAACACACACACACAACAAAAAAAGAAGAACCAGAATTCCATTCATGAATACAACTGATAAACACCAACTAAAATCGATATGACGACTTTCAATACATCATTTATACCATCTCTATACTCGTAGCGATTTTATAACAATTCTAGAGACAGCTGAGAAATTTAAAGTGAAGATAATATAGGTAGCATAATTAACATTCATAGAAAAAATTTTTAAAAACATAGTTCATAACCTCATCTACAAAAACACACGATGTAAACTACTAAATAACATCAAATATCAAAGAATATAGTAATTAAGCTGTAAAATTTAATAAACAATTATATCATTAACAATGTTAACAAACATAATCAGAAGGTCAACCATGTTAAATGATGTTATACAACAGGTAACAAATAAACGTTTTAAGGTGGTTGGTAAGTAAATATTCACAAGCGCTGTTATACAAAAACACCGAACCCACACGTTATCCCAAGTGTCGACCAGTCACTTATGATCAATGCATAATTTCATATTAATGTTGTATTACCCTCATACCAAATTGGTACAACAAAGTAAAATTAACAGGAACAAATGTAGAACAGTCAAAACAACACAATAACAATCATAATAACATTGAACAAATATTGGGAATGTAGTTCGAGAACGTATCAAAACATATATACATTCGAATACTACTACTACTACTACTCAAGATCTAAAGGCCAATAAAAAGTATACACATCACAGTCATCACAACAGATTCAAAGTAATGTCACACAACATCTCCAACCATCCATCACTATATCTCTATGCACTACAAACACACAGTCTGCATTTACCAACATAACTCACACCAACAACCAATAATTACACGAACTGATACCATCTCATGGTTTGGCCTTCCATAGCTTACTTCAAATCATACCCTCTTCCACCTAACACCGCACGTCAAGGGAGGTGGAGGTGGTTGTAAGGTATACGTCCCATGGTCTCAGTCTCAAACACCCCAGTCGATCAACATTCGCACTCTCACCAATAGATCTTTCGTGCTTAGCCCCCCTCCCCAGTATAATATCCCTAACCTCATCGACGATCACTCAGCAGTTCTACGGTACATCGAACAATGATTTGAAGAAACATGTGAATAAAACGCTCTAGTCTATGGATTCCGACGATTTTCGCAAAACATGTTTAGCGACAATAAAGCAATACAGAGTAGTGCCTATGTGATTTGATAGCCTTTTAATAGGCGAATCGATATCTTGTCGGTTAAATTAACTTGCGCAAAAATGATCACTAATTAGTTTGAACAATTTTTACTATGAATACGGTTCTTTGTTAGCATATCGATTAAGGATAATGTAATAGCATAATTTCAAATAAACTTGATACCGTGAGATTGCAAAGCCTTATGGAAGGATTTCAGAAATTTATTAAATACACCAAGAGATTTTTAATATACTACTATATAACCCTGAATGTTTGTGCAGACGGAGAAGTATACCGGCTGTAAGACTAAATCTTGAGTAAATCCCCGTTAACATATCACAACCCTTTCGAAACACTATCACAGAGAAAGAATGTGGGCCATTAGTAACTGGTTGCACAAAATCATTGAAGAATCGAATAAATAAAATAAAAATAACAGAATAGAAAAAAAGAGTTTCTAAATTATAGTTATGACCTTAAAGCAGCATATTATAGATGAAGTGAAAAATAATTCAAAATATATAACAAAAGGTATTATTGATAGAGATTAATTAGAGAATACATCTGTAACAATCAATTTACTGTTTAGGTGAGACAATCTATAACCTATAACAGCAAATGTATTTGCAATACTTCAAAACATCATCGAATTATCGATACCTAACAATCATTCCCTAAACCTGACGTACTATCCTGGCTAGTGTAACAGTGGTATAGAGAAAACTAGCCAAACTGACACATAGAAATATATTTTTGACAGTTAACTTGAACTATGTGTAGAAGTGTAGGCTTCCAGGTTGAAATTCACAAAATAATCGTGATCAACAGTTCGAAAATATAAAATTACTCATAGCGGAATCGATGTATTTATTCTTCAACTTTCCTTTTAATTTTAAATATTATTTCATAGCTTTTACTTCTCAATTTCGTTTCTTCACTAATTTTCGCAATGTGCAGTTTTAAATTTTACTATCATAAGTTGATCGAACTCGTTATTCGCCTGACAAGTGGATATGATGTTGATGTCACAAAATCTTTCGAGACAATTAATAGATAAAGAAATTTGAATGTATCACACTTGATTGAAACGGTTGTTATAAAAATATTTAAATCAAATTTTCGCATCCAAAAAGACACGGTTATCAATCTTGCATTGTCAAAGGGACAGAGTTTTAATGAGCTTGTTATATAGGGAGTTTTTTCACGATCATTATTATAATTTCTTTATTTCTTCCTGCTTACTTGAGGTTTACTCAGCTAGTCGTCTTTTTTTTAAGTACAACATAAATCACGAAATTATCCTTTGATTTCTAGGAATTCTGTCTTCATACTCTTCTCGATATTCTATTCGTAATATTTAACCTATGAATAGAAAACCATTTGAATGATTTTTATTCATTCCACCCAAAATTATTGTTTTTCATCAATCAATATTGAGATGTTAAACCGAATCTTTGGTTACAACTTTTCAGAAAGAAGTTTTACGTACTTATTGTTTTTTTTTCTAGATTTATAGATTGTAAGCAGATGAAATGAAATCATGAAATAAATGAACTCATGTATTATCCAGCTACGATTGTTGGTTTTTACTTTATTTAAATTAATACAAATTATTTAACAAATATAATTGCTTATGCACTCGATTTTGAGACAACATTTAACTGTGAGTAACACTATATGGTTCTGACACATCTATGTGTATCTAAGAATTCAGCTGCTCCTGTGGAGAAACCTATATTGGGCGCACTACCAGACAACTGAGACAAGTTAGTGATTACTTCACTTCGTGGTTAGGAAAGGGTTTCGTCAAGACAATACGCAGCTCGATTCTACCACATTTGATCGATAGCGGTCATGTAGCAGACTGAAATAATGAATTATCTTATTCCTACTAGTTTTTCTTATGGGGTTCGATTTCATCTCTTAAACATAGTAGAATCCATAGGAATTCGAGCTAACAATCCAAGTCTTTGAGTGCATAAGGAATTTGTAACACTTGATCGTGTTGGTCTAAATATTGCCAGAAAAACTTGGAATAATTGATTTAGCCATTATTTATTATTATTTTCCATACTCTTTCTTTGTCTATTTTTCTTCACCCCCTCTCACCTATTTTTATCCAAACACACGCTTCATTGTCCAATTGTCTGAACATGTCTTATTACATAAACTTACAGTTTTTATGAATGTTATTTCAGCATGTATGGGAATTAGTCCCACCATGAAACATGGATATAAGTCTTGATTATTCTTATCACAGCTATTACACCTGTCATCACACCATTGATATGTACTTTTTACTTATTATGTTTATCTATGTAGTCTACTGTTATCACTGAATTATCAACTGCCTTGATTGGTTTAGTAATTTTGTATATGCATATAAATATTACTGTATATTAAAGCCTGATGGGGATCTAATCACTTATCGCTTATATATGTTGTTCTAATTCATAATATGGGTTTTTTTTAAAATTATTCGATTACTGACCAAAATGAACTATTGAAATAGAAATTTAAACCAGCAAGCTGGAACTCTACGATGTGTATGAAAGAAATCATCATTATAGCATTGAGTTTAGAACAAAGAAAAAGTTTTAACAAATCAACAAGCTAACAAAATGATTACACAGAAATATAAATTAATACATTTTATGTATGTATAACTTAAAATAATATTCTACACTGACCTAAATGCTGGATCACATCCACATTCAAGTAATAAACGAATTAGTTCAGGATCACTTTGAAATTCTACAGCTACATGTAAAAGTCTTCGTCCATCAGTTAATGGATGATTAATTAATTTTAAACAAACACGATATGGTGGTACAGTTGATGATCCAGGTGAAGTACACTCTATTGCATAATTAACAATATGAAAATATTTAATATATCTCAAAAGCAAATAAACACTTAATTTCAGTAAGTCATCTTAAAAATAAATAAACGTGTTTTTGTGTGTATGGGTGTGTTAATGTCTCTTTTTCGCTCTATTTACCTAACAGATGTTACTTCATATATACGAACAAAGAATAAATGAATGGCAACTGCTAGGAGTAATTTATGTAATGTTATATATACTGAACGGGCTGAATTAGGAGAGAAACTACTATACGTAGGACCAATAAGGACTCAGAGTTGACTCAAGGCTGATCGTGCTGGTTGACGCACCATTGGTTTAGCAAGGTAACAGAAGTCGGTATTCTGACTGGCGATTTTGTCACATGATATTTGACTCGATATTTTACTTCATAAAATTATAATTTAAACCCTATTGTAAAGAGAATACAATGTACTAATCATACATTCTAAAACATAAACATACAAATTTCTATTTCTTGTTAGTTATTCGAAATAATAGAATATCGCTTTTGTAATGTTATAAATAAGATAAACTCAGATGAAATATAAGCAATAATATTCCTACAAAAACAGCACAAAACAAAAGTTGAACAATTTGATCTATCTAAAATACTGGTATAACATGAATCAAAAGAGCATTCGTTGTTAACTTAAACTAGATACCACGCAAATTGAAACTTATAAGTTAACACCGTCGCCACCGTTATAACTTGTTCATTGCTATACAATTCAGAAATACCAACGTAACGGTGATTGCAAAACAAAGGCTCGTCGACACAACGCCAAACTCTTGACACATTTCCCAACGATTAAGAAGCAGTGATTATTAATTACATTAAAACAATTATACTTGGAACGAACTTCACACCGTCAAAACTGAATGAATAATTATTAGAATACAGTAGGATAACACCGAAATAGTTCACAGCTTAATTTGTCGAAATACAAACGAATACTAAACTCAACGTTCACCATATTAAACTAATCAATAATCTTACTCTTCATCGCTTCTTATCATTTCTTATGTTAGAGATTGACAGCAGTTGGAGTACTATTGAAAAGCAAGGAGCATTGAACAGCTGGTTCATCTTGATGCATGAGAATCCTCAGCAATGAGTATACGTGACTCTACCAGGGATCGGAAGCGAGAGAGTTTCAAGTCACATAAATGAATCAATAATGACACTTTGTGATCATAGAGTAATAATCGAGTCCTAATCAACGCCATTTTTTTAAATGCCCTACCATCGGTTCGATATTCATTCTATGTGCCAATTTTCTTTCCTACTTCCAAGGATATTGTAGATACATTTGTATACTGAATAGCTTCTTGCCAATTTCAGCATTATTCAGTCGTTGTCAATAAATAATCCCTGAGAGTTCTGCCTTTTCTGATTAACCGTGATTAGAAAAAAAAAGAACTGTGATATCCAGTGTATCCAAATCAGAGCTGAGAGTTCACAATACTGGGGACAAATAATATCATCTACACACTGATAAATTTAAAAAACCTGAAAATGTTAAGTAATCATCTTAAAATTTTACACCAACCAGTAGGGGATGTATTAGTGGTGGTCAGCATATTAGTCGTAGTAACAGCAGTAGTGGTAGTAGTATTCAAAGAAGCAGTTGAATTATGAACTGTTTCCTCCAATTCGTTTAAATTATCGCTTTGAGTTATATTGGAAATATCCATTGGTAATAAAGATCGTAAAATAACCAAATCTCCAGAAGCAATTGCTACACGTAAACGTCTATGCCAACTTTGATAGGTGAAATATAAATCTGTGTAATATTTTTAATTATAGTAAAATAGAAAATCTCATTAGCAATTTATTACACAAAACAAGAAAAGAGTGGGGAAAAAGACTCAAACTAAACGTTCATATTATGTTAAAATGAAATAATACATGAATAATAATTGACGCGTGCACCATTGCGTGAATAGTGACTACTGGATATTACTCATAACAAAAGTGTTATTTTGCAAATATCCAATGAATTTTTAAGCTCTATCAACTCTACATTAGATTCAAGTAATTATCAATACGTTAGATAACTAGAGAGGTTATAAATTCAATCTTCTCACATTGCCCAATTGTGAGGATTTCGCTTGTAGTGAAGTATTGTGACTCTTATGATACATTCGAATTACAAACTTTATCAAATAAACAATTGCATCGTGAAATGATATGGTACACTGTTGTGTGACCTTAACATGTTTCATTGTAACGATATTTGTTATATTGTATATCCCCATATGTGTGCGGCTATTTACATATCTCGTATTTTTAATCCATCCTCTTACTTGCTGTAGATGCAGTCAGTTAATAATTTGCTACTTATGTTCACATTTATAGTGATATTCAAAATAAAATCAATTCATTCACATTCCTTTCCTGTGTCTGATTTGATTGCTAAGGTGTGATCTGTTGAGTTAATTTGCTCCTAATACAAATTGACTTCCATCCAACGCGTATTCGATTGCTTGATTGCTCGAATAGAAATGAATTTAACCGTACTCGAAGAATTAACCAGTGGAATATATACGAATATGTAAGATCGATTATACTTAAAGTCGGAAACAAGTATTCCAACACGATTTATGCCTACCACTTTAAGCAATAATACAAATGATTACCAACAATACTCGGATATCTTAACCCTTGCTGGTTTGCGTAAATTATATTCCCAAAGCGCAATTAGAACACGAAGGTGGTCAATCAATTCAGCTTCTATTATTGTATCGTGCCATGAGTCAGAAGCGCACAGGTTAATATGCATCAATTATACGGCAACAACGCACCACTTTTTTTAATTAACTCATTCACCAGATACCTGGTAAGAGCCACACTCTAAATGTGAGGGCTAACGATACTACTCGGTTGATCACACCAAAGTAGATATATGGCTAGGTGGTCCTACATGATACAAAGCCGAATAATAGATACATAATGAATTAACAATAATACAAAAACAGTTTATGAATGAAATGGAAGCTTACAATATGAGTGTTATAAAATATCATAACCGAATATCTAATAAATACACAGTAAAAATATGCAGAACTATTCCTCCTCAAGGATTACTGAGGATCCCGAGTTCGAGCAAAGGGGAAGGGTTGGATTATGGTTAATAACCCTAACTCGTAGAAGAGAACCGCAATACAAAAACGCTAACCAGATAAAGCCAACTCAACAAGCAAAAATCTGCTCCGGGAGTTGAAGGGTCTTCACATACAAGAGTTATGACGCTTTTCAGGAGAGCTGCGACCCTCTGGAAACCACGTGTCCAGAACCCCCTATTACAAACCAGGGCAACAATAAATATAGGGAAATGAAATGTCCGGATGTGATGAACCAGAAAATTCACTCGAATATTGACAGAAACGAGAAGATACAACCAAGCTCTACTTGGAATAAATGAAACTCGTTAAACACAATCTGGACAGAAGAAAACTAACTTCAGGAAAAATGTCGTTGTATTCAAGTCACGAAGAAGAAAGTGCTTCATACACAGGGATTCGCACTGATTCTGCCCGGAGAAGTACAAAAAGTGCCTATAGGATGGGGAATCCAGTGCTCCACGATTGTCATAATATCCTTCAAAAGAAAGAAGGGAAAGGTTACAATTGCTACACACCCACCGACGATGGTAGTGAAGATGATAAAGACGACACACTGGATTTTAATGATCCTTCAGTCGATACCGAACCAAATAAAACAATTTGCTTCAGTGAGAAAATATTACGCATATAATCTCAAAGTATAAAGACGCATTACGTAAACAGTCGAAACAAACCTTCGAAATTATCAGTCATTGCTTTGACATCATTACTTTCAGAATCGTTGGAAGTCGAAAGCAATGAAGATTGACTGTTTGGTTTCGTCTTCCTGACAGTTTCTGTGGTTTTCCTAATATTATTTTCTGAGTTCATAATCTGCTCCACTCGATCATCATTGCTATCATCATCAGTATCGTCTTGTGAACTGACACAATCTGACAAATCAGAATTATCTGAACTTGATGACAATAAATTCTTTTTAGGACTAGTTTCCAGTAGGCTAAGTGGACCTAAAAAATAAAGCGATGAAAACAGGAGAAATAAGGCTATAATTAAAGAACTAAACATAAGTCATACACAAGAAATAATTATCTTTTCTGAATGATATTCATGACCCATCTAATAAAAACAAGATGTTTATTTGACAATATTGGTGTTGTCCGCCATGAAATTTTAACGAAGAGTAAATAGTTGACACCACCTTTTATGTGGAGGTTCCTAAAGGTTTATGAGTTATCAGGTGATGTTAATGGATGCTTGCAACATCACAACAATGTTTTGACCAGTAAATTGATCACTATGATAGATTGCACTCCTATCTTCCCCAGAACTACCCACCACCGAGATATTTTGTCCCACTGAAGTTCAAAATAGTCATACGGAGGTGTTACAGAGACGATGTGGAGATCTTATATATAGGATCTGTCAGTCGCTGATCTATGTATAGTGTTTTCGAGATCGCCAATGAAATAGTTAAGTAGGAGTGGGAAAAGTCTATCACAACAAAATGGGAGTAAACAGAAAACTCTGCGTCCAATTTAAATCTCATAATGAGTTATATAGACAAACTGGCAGCGTAGTGATAAGGTCACCCACTTGGTCCACTCCTATTTGACTATTTCATTGGCGATCTCGAAAACACTATACATAGACCAGCGATTGACAGATCCTACATATAAAAGAGATAGATTATACATTCATCATTTGTGACAAAATACCAACTTCATCAACATCCTGACATCAATCGATTAAGTTCAAGATGGAATCTCAGTTGGATTCAGAATCTTACTTCTTAGATAACATTTTTCAAAAGGAGAGCTAATGATTGTCTAAAAAGCTCGATATACAGAAAGCCAACCTGGAATGTCCAGTACGCGAACTTTCAAAGCTTGTTCCCACTGAAGCATAAATGAAACCCGATTCACTCTCTATGGACGAAGCTTATCACTTAAGAGTTTTCATATTATTCAACACCATGTTATTCTACTATAGACTGGTATTGTTAGCAGACAAATTAACTATAAGTACGATTGTACAATTTATGTAAATGTAATCGTCGAAAAAAAAACATTTCCTTCGCAACAAATTGTCTTCATACTTTTTCAACGACATAATGAGCCTCTTTCGTTAAATTGAGTGTTTACCAAATGAGGATGGGAGTGATGTAACTTTACAGTCCATAAAATAAAGTTTTTATGATCTGTTTGGCTTTTTATCGGATTAACTAGTAATTATTTACAAATTCGACTGTTGATTTTCGAGTGGCGAGGTAAAAACTTCAGTTAAACAATAAGTTTGAAAATTTATAAATCGGCAGGTAATAAGTGAATTGTACTGTCAAAAGAAATTAGGATTACAAAAATAACCCCTAATTTGTTTTTCAGTTGGCTTAAGCGATACTAGTTTGGTGAAATCTCTGACTAATATGATAATATCCATTCCATTCAATCTTGGAGCAAAACCAACGACCTGTTTTGAAATTCCGTACTGCTGTCAGATGTGTAGGCAGAGACTACCCGTAGAAGTAAAAACAAAAAACGATCCGTCATGTGATAATGTACTTTTTACATGGCTCCTTTTACACCGTTAGGTATAGCTGTTTGAGAAAAACAGTAAGTTTTCCCAAAATCTAAATGTCGTCTCCCACAATATTTTTCAGTCAAATACCTAACAAACCAGAACCGATCATATAATTAAAATAAAGAATTTTTAGATTGTTGAATATAAAGTTAACTTTCAACACGATCGACATTAACTGAAAACCGTGTTTCGACATCATTCGGAGATCAAAGTAAGAGTTTTATGTCATTGAGTACGATACATTTAAACTAGTGGGAAATGTTGAACCGGGACACAAGACAGGTATCCAGTAGTTCTGTTTTTCAACCCCGCTTTAGATGGTGTCAGTTCATGGTGAAAATTAAAATTATTCGACAGTTACTTTAGTAATATAAGAATTAGAAACATTCATAGGACTGAACGGAAAAACATGAGAGCAAGTACGCTCATGAGCTGTATCCAGACAGAAAAGAAAAATAATGCATTTTTTATCAGTAAAAAAATTGATTCCTTTTTCGTATTTTTAGGTGTTCTCATGTGACCTAAATAAATCCCTTTTTAAGTATAACATGTGTTTTGTATGTGATTTTATTTCCATTTGGTAAATTAACTAGTCTGAGTGGCGACAATGATCCCAAAAGACATACACGGAAATTTTTGATCTAGTTTAAGGCTTTTTTGCCACGTACTTCAGCTTTTATTAGGTTAAAATTGGCTTCGTTATTGGAGTGATATCCACTGGAAAATTATTAAAAAAACAGAAGTACTGAGAGGTTATCTCATCCTGACCCAATGCCACGCCATTATTGTTCGTGCACGACCACACGCACATACACATGGGATCAAACTCATGACCTTCAGGTCTCGCCGAGACCGCATCGCCTTCAAACTACTAAATTGGAGTCACTTGGTCTTATTACGATTTTTACAATATTAGAGTCGAAATTAAAGATCAGTAGATGGAATATTTCGTTAATATGAAGATGAATCTAATGAAACTAGATATACTAAATGATTAGTATACAACGAAGACAGCCGTACATGCATAAGGAAAGAGAGAATACATGACCTTCCAGAAAGACAATTATATGAAAGAACATCACAGTATATATAACATTTTACGAGGCAAAGTGACCAATAAGAATAGATGTGAATTACGTAGTATTTCTACATTACAAGGGTCATAATGTTATCGAGATGTGAAAAGGATGGAACAATATTGTTGTGGCGATTCCAACTAATTACAATAATATCAGTTTCAGTGAAGCCCAATAGATCTATATTTTAAAATTCAACAAGCTTGTGATTACGACATACATTATCCAGTACTAATGGTAGGTAAAGCTGAGTCACTATCGATATGGTTGGGTTTTATCAGTTACAACTTCTTATAAGAAATTCAAGACCTCATTAGAATACCAATCACTAGTGAGCAACAAAAAATAAACGTTTGGTTGAAAATTTTGTTGAGATTAGCTTAATATGAGATTATTTCTCATCGTGAATTATAGTTCAGCTTGGAAAAAGCAATAAAATTATTTTAATGAAGCAGAAATTTAGAACTATTACACGGTGTTCATATATGTCGACGGAATGATGATAACGTAATCGATGATGAACAGTTCGGCGAGGCTATAATTAATACATGAACTTCAAGAAACCCAAGAGTGACCTTGAGAAAATTCGCCTACTTACTAGGGTCGAAAGAGGTCTACAAATCAGTGTGAGAAATTAAAATTAAGATTTAGAGTTGGAAGTTAAAGTTAGGGATAAGGGATAAAAGTTTTTATCACGAACTGACATCAGATATAATGCTGAATTGCTATTTAATCATATGGATGAATGAATTTGGCGCCGACAACCAGGACTAACTACCTTTAATTTCATTGGTTCATCCATGAATTATAGTCTCGCCAACAGTCCAACCTTCAGATTTTCATTACAATTGTACATTTAAACAGAGAATTAGAAAATGAAACAGATGAATTCCAGATGATTTCAATTTATCTCTAGTTGATTAAGACATAACACGCCTCGATATATTATTGTTCTTTCTTAATCTAATTGAATAAATGTATGAATTATTAATAATTTTGTGGTCGACTCAAGCATTTTCTAATATCACACGATTGTTTCTAATTATATAAATAAACGTTAGTTTATGAAAATGAACAATGCTTCAAAATCCTGGCTAATATAGTTTGAAATTAACCACAATATTACAAAGATACGCATTAATTCAGAATAACTCTTCTTCGAAATCACAAACCACTTAGTATGATTACCATTATTATTATTATTATTATTATTATTATTATTATTATTATTATTATTATTATTATTATTAATCCAGTAATTGTCGGTAATAGTATAAAAATAAGCTGCAACTTAAGTTATAAGGAACAATTAGTATAACTGATAAACATCTACTTATTAGTAATATCTACAGAAAGAAAATGCTTACCGTAAATTAATCGACCACTTTTAGTTTCTAACAAAGTTTCATCACCGCTTTCAGATAATTTGCGCCATTGATTTCGACCTGATTTACTGAGAAACTCCAGATTAGCATCAGGATCTGTTCAAAAAGTGCGGTAAAAGAACAAGATAATGATGGTGAGAAGAGGGAATAAGTGAAAAGTCGTATTTTATTCTTTATTACTTACGCTACAGATAAAAAGTTTATTTCGATGAGTAGAAACAAAGAATGTGACACGGTTATGCAACTGGGGCCTGAAGCCAAACTATTAATGATAACAAATAGCTAGCTGTCCGAGGAGAAATGGGTAGATGGGAGTTTGAATATGTGACCTATTGATTAAAAGTTTAATGGTCTAATCATTAAATCAATCACTCAGTATAGATCTTCTTAAAACTTAATCGTTCAATCTTCATTCTTTTTACGACTAACAAATAATTATCCACAGTTAATTCACAACAAACTGACTCCAAAACACCAAGCACTAGTAAAAATATTCTTTAGAGACACTAGTCGATACTGATAAACCGGACAAAATAAGTCTAAAATATGCAATCCAGTGGGTTGAACCTAGCAAGTGACACCTTGACAGTAGTAGGCAAAATATGTTTAATGTGTCCGATGGAATTATAGTTATAATTCAGCAGAAGAATTCAGTTATGATAATGAAGTTATCTTGATAATAAACGATCCTTACCGACGTTTGTCTTTTTGCCTACATATCCGTTAAAAACAATTAAAATTCCACAAAGTCATCTATACTACATAATACACTCAGATAACAATTGATTAACATACTCCTACTTATTAAAACAATATTGGACAATTTACTGGTTGAAAATAAGACAGAGCAGAATTATTACATTTAATATCGACGTGGACAGTAAATAGTTGTTATAACTTTATAACTTATCAGATAACTCTTTGATATTTGAATCAACGAGTATCCTATCTGACCATATTATTCAAACGCAAACACTACAATATGTGAATGTTCAGCTAAACAGTCGTAAAATGAATGAGATGAACGAGCTGAATGGCATCATATACTATCACCAAATAAAGTTATGGTCTTATTATAATAGAAACCGAACAAAAAACCTAATGTGTCAACAGTGGTTGATCAATCCAATTTAATAAGTTGATCATGTAAAATACTAAACTTAAATAAAATAAAGTCATCGGGGATAAAAAAAATTGTTTCGTGTATCATACCATAAACATCAAAAGTTGACAATTCTTTGTGTAATTCTTTTACGTGTAAATATGTGATATGTTTACTACGACAAGGTATTCTGCGTAATCTTGGATCATCTATTGTCATTCCAAGTCGACAGTCACAAGCTTTTGAAGCTAATGAATCTGGGACAAGAGGTGAGGAAATCCGATAACTGGAATTAATCGAAGAATAGTCAGTTGATTCATTAAAATTATCACCGGTAAATTTATGATTAGATGGCACAGATGAGGATGATACAGGTGGATTAAAAAATATACTTCGATGTACTTTGGGAGACCACAAAAATATCAGCTGGCAAGATTGTAACAGAACACGCCATTTATTATGTAAAAGATCACTTATTTCCTAAAAAAAAATTTAGAAGAAAATCTTAGAAAGGAACTAATAACCAGGAGAAATAGAAAAAGCATCCAATGATTCACTGACACACGATAACTTAATAGTATAAAGGTGATACGTTCAGCGCTGGATCTGAGGATTTCAGATTCGGCCTCAATTGGAGTCATAGATGCGTACCTTAGATGAGTCCCTCACTAGAACATAAAAGCTTTTCAGTACTCCCTTGTTTTGAATGGCTGTCTCTAGCTATCTTAAAATGGATTGAATTGAACAAAGCAGCTATTCAGTAGCACTGCTCATTTACGATCCCACACGGGATCGAACCCAAAACCTTCAGGTGTCGTAGTGAGTACAAATTCTTCAATCAGTTTAAATCAATTCGCAACACGGTGCAGTCATCTACCGTTACCGGTAGCGGGTAACTGCTTCACATCCGATATGGTTGAACCCCACTGGTCACGGTTTCTCACTGGAACTGAGATTATATGTCTCACTAATTTATCATGATTTGAATTTTTTATGCAACTCAACAATCAAGTACAGGCTAATGTAATTGGCTTTAAGTCAAACGTAGTGTAAGGGAAAGTGACACTACATGTAGTCACCTGAACTGAATTAGATGCATCTACAACTCATTGGTTTAAAGCCAAGTCTTCTAACCAATAGGCGATTGCGTCTTGTTATTATCATATGATTTCAATGCTGATTTTCTCGCTTCAGTCAATATACCTGACTGACCAAGTAAAAAGACCAAAGCACTCAACATAAACTTCTTCAGATACAAGCCAGTTCCTTGCTATCTTCCTTTACTTTGTAAGCGGTAACAACAGATTATTGTATGCTACCTCAATAACTTGACAAGTTCGTAATCGTGTAATTATATCGAAATCATCATAATCACTAAGAAATGGGTATGTAAAACAGTGACGCAGTAATAATTATTAACGATAATTACATTACGAATAGTTGCTTCACCATGACGTCGAAGATTAGCACCAGCTGATTTCACTCCGCCAAGACCACCACATTGTGAATCATAAGATGATTGACCACCACCTTGTTTAGCGCGTACTGTGTAGTTGCGCAAAGTTTTATGAACAATCTCGTTTGTTCTTTGAAAGTGAAAACATATAATGACAAAATATTCGGGATAGTACTGATTGGTGAAAATTAATTGATTTACTTTTACTCTATAACATTAATTTGGGTTCAAGAAAACTTTAAGCCTGCATGCAATGATAAAAACTTAAAACGCGTGAAATTTTATGGGCATTCCGATTACCAATTCACTGACTAGATGATCAGATAAATTTCGGAAAATCGTCTGTATACACAGTTTTAGCAGAACACTTGAGGCTATAATCAAAAATTGTTTCATAATTAATGGCACCAATACAAAAGCTATAAGAACAGGATCATGGTTATGTATGATACTGAGTTGAAGTCACAGAGCAACAATTTTTATAAATACATGGAACGTCCGGACAATGTAGGATACTGAGAGGACCAATCAAATAGCTACAAAATGAGGAAATACAACTTGGTGATTTTCGAAATAAGTGAAACTCATTGAATCCAAGCTGGACAGAAAATATTAGATTCGAGAGATTCTGTTCTACTCTGGTCTTGAGGAAGAAAATGCTCCGCACACTCAGAGAGTTGCACTAATTATGTCGAAAGGAGCATAAAAAACACTCATAGGATGGAAATCTCATGGATCTGGGACCATCAAAACGTCCTTCAAAACGGAGAATGTTACTAAATATTATGCACCCATCAATGATAGCAATGATGACGATAATGATCAGTTTTACGAGAAGCCGCAATCGATCACAGCGAATCTGTTGCAGAAACAATGTGAACCCTTTTCAAAGATAGGTACAACTATCGACTAATTTCATGATGTTAGAACACTCTTTAATTGCAAAACCTATGTAAACAACTCAGTCAGTTCCCTAACCAGAAAGTCGCCACCATCTTTAAAAAGAGCCAGAAGTAAGTCATCTGGACCTGGTGATTTGTGGCGCTTCAGGAGTTGGAGTTCCTTGCGGTCACTCGGGGTAGACCGACGTGCTTCAATGAAGTGTAAAGAGCCTGAAGAAACTCAATGCTTATAAGCGGGACGTTTTGCGAAGCCACAAGCGACTCCACTCACTATTTCCGTGACGTCATGCAATTGCAGCCAATGTTCATCCATACTTTTCGGTGGGCTGATAGCTAGCTGATGATCGCATTCTAGATAACACATATACTATCTCCAATACATAGCCCGTTATATAATCAACGAATCTTCGTAGAAAACTCACGGTGAAGTACAAACGTCAAGGTTTTTATTTAAACTGTGGCAGATGTATTTGTACAGAAAAGCAATTGCTTCGTACATAATTGGGAACTTAATTACTATGCATTGCCTCCACATCCCCCTACAGCGTCCTCCTTTCTTCATGCGCCTGTTTATTTGCAGCTAACAGTACGTTTTAGACAGATCACGGAATTTGTGATACACACAACATTCAGTACTGCTGCTCACTCCAATTACCTATAAAATATAGTAACTGGTGCGCATACTACTAGCATTGTAAGGAAACTGGATAATGGAACTATGATACAATTTTTATAAACGACATATAAAACTGTAGAAGATAAATATAACTGCAGCTTTTTAAAGTTCCCCCTAATTCTGTTTAAAAAACCAACCTCAAGGTAACTTACCCATCAAAAATGCCACCAGCGAATTTACCTCCAGAATAAAGAAGAATAGCCCATTTCCGACTTTGTCGAACACGCGAAACAGATGCCAGCAACTCATCCATTGTTAAAGGCATAGTCTGAAAGTAATGAGAAACAACACCAAGCTAAAGTACTGTGAACTGCTTCAGTTATATAATATCAAGTGCTAAACCTGCTCCACAGATTTATTGATGAAGGAAGTTGCATTCAGTCATACTGTAACTAATAAAATTCAAAGGTACATTACTAAAGATAAGTGTCGGACGTGTAGTAGCGATTTGTCATTATTTAGATTTGGTTCTTAATGAAATGGACAGCGTACTCCATTTCGATATTGTAGTAACTTGCCCTTTCGCTTAGGCCCGTTAGTAACACTTGTGTCTAAATGTACGTAGGTGCCTATTTAAAATTATTAGGACTACCGCAAATCTCATTTATACGCATTCACACTACGAGAAACGCGAGAGAATTAAGTATATTATTATGAAAAATGCAATTTTATCCTAATTTTGATTACTGGCACGATTGGTTCAATGGCCCCTAAATGCCCTGGTACGGCCGACGGTGGACAGAGTCAGCTCTATCTCTCGAAATGTTCTCACATGGCCATGAGTATACAGCCACTGACAGGGAAGCCCCACTCACTGCCTTCTTGCGACAAGGGTGTTTTTTACGAAATTGAGAACGAAAAACGAATGTCCGGAGCTTTGACCGGATTGGTGGATATGGAGGATCCACCTAGGACAGTTGGAAAATCCTGATTTCAAACCAATGGTGCACATGGGCTCCAGGACTTTGAAGGAACAAGTGGTGTATGATCCTACTGCTGGTTACCGGCTACCACGAGACTGCATCTCCTAAAGTTGTTCCACTGACTTGTGGATTAGACCTTCAGTTCAAAGGCTCGGGGTATGACTCCTTAAGGAAACCACCTGCTTTGGTTTGAGCGACCAAGCAGTATTCCAGCCCTCACAAAAATCGAATGACAAAGTGTGGCGCATATTTGGTGCTTCCTTGTAATAACGTTTATGTGTTTAAATAAATAAATTAGTTTTGTGGCTGTAATGTCAACTTCCGAATCGCTGCACAATTACGTATTGAAAATGTGTTTAAGTATATATATACCATACCGAATAAAGTTAACATCATTATTATTCTGAAAACTGTTTACCTTCCTAGTAAATAGAACACAACGATTTATTCCAACTATTTCTGAATTATAATTTCGGAAAAATAACATCTGCTTATGTGACGATGCAGTAAGTGACGAATTAGTAACCATTTTAGATGATGTACCATGATCACAGTCATTGTTGTCAATATTTGGTTCTATAGTTGCTGACAGCGAATTAATTGGACTCATTCCAACTTGATCGGTGGTATTTATTTCCGAAACATTTTCTATTTTCTCTTGTCTTAAAGTTTCGAATAGATCAAAATTTAGTGGACAATAACCACGTAAGGATCGATTTATATTGCAGATATGCCATTCACTTTTGAAGTGTTCCCGCTGGAGTGAAAAAATAATCGTTAGCATAGAACATTTTTTGCGAAAGATACCATATCTACTGCATTATCCATTTTCAATTGACATATATTACAATGAAACTTCTGAAGGGAAGAAATGTAATTTTTCGTTGGAGGATTTGTTGTTTTCGCATCTGTTACGTGTCAATATGATTGTATCAATTTACCTGTATTTTCAGAACAATGGTTGCTGAACGTCTCGCCAACTAAAACAAGACCAGTTAACTTTTCGACGGCTATTTTTTGGTCGAAAAACTGGTAACGATCGCACGTACGTTTGCATTGACGACTGATAAGACCAACATTGGACGACATCACGATGTATGCCAGACAAATTTTCTGGAATACGGATAGAAAAAAGACTAATCATTACAGCTAAAGAGTCTATTTACTTTCATCCGTGAAAAATAACATCCCTAGCTGTTGGTCGCTAATTAAGAAGCTGACTTATAAATCTCTTTAGATACACCGGTTCACATTATTTAGATAAGACAATTGGATATGATCCTACAAAATAATCAAGTAGTCATTGGCTATATACAATCCACCTGTTTGGTTTGTAGGATGCTGAAACCGCCCGCACCAAAAAGTGTGAAATTTAAATAAATATCCTTAACTTATTATTCTATTAAATAATTAAAATTTGCCGTAAAAAATAGTCTGGTCTATATTTTTATGTGTGAGGAAAGCGCCCTAAAGTAAACCCATAATTTTCTCACAAAAGGAAACATACTGTCTCCGAGTAACAGAACAATAATACGGCCAATTTTATTTCATGAAAGTTGAAGATGAAGCCACAAACAAAGGTAGACAAGACTCAAATTTTAGATATAACGAGTGACAGAAACATCCCTTAATACTACTCAAGACATTTAAGACAACTGAGAAAAACATTGCTTGCCACCAAAGTAAAAATAATGAACGTGCAATATAGTTTGTAGATCGGATATACTCATCGAACCGAAACCAACTGCACCGTGATTCTGAGCCTTTAATGCCGAAATAAACACCGACCTAGTATCACTCTGTTTTATGGACAAACTAGTAAGATAGCTCCTCTTGCTTTTAACTGCAAATTTACGCATCCATTTGACCACAGAGCAATTTCGTATTGCAGTTAATGAAAAATACTTAACCCTATGCCCTTGAATCTTGTTCTAATTACTCGGCATCAGATAAGAATAATTCAGGGACTGGCGAAAATCTTTTCGAGTACATTTAAGGTTAGAAAAATTATAGTCTCACCTCTATATATCCATACGGACGAGTTATCGCCGTTTATAGGCAGATCAACTTGTTGGATATTATTACATTTGTCAAAAACATGAAATCTGCCCACTATATAATATCATTACTCTCTTTTATACAAATTATCTACCACAAAAGGCTGATTAAGAGCTACAGCTCTTTCAGATATATCTGAATATTAGTTCCGGTTGTTTCGTTTATCTCTATACTAGACTCGTTCGGCTTCCAGTCATAAAATGTGATTTAGAACTTTAGTTTTGAATTTGATATAAAAATTGCATAAAGCATTCCAATAAGCATACTGAACATACTGAGTATCAACTGACCTTCACCCCAATGCAACGTAACGCAAGATTTTGATAGTTGAACCAATTCGATTGGATTGAACTGTCGTTGAGATGCCCGCTGAACATACAGGTAGCTGTCTGAACTCAGTACTTGATTGGATAAATAGGTGAAGTTTGAGGCAAACAGAACTGAGGTCAAGTCTCGAAGTTCATATCATCTCTGAGATGCAGATTTATTCAGCTGATGAATTCCGAGAAAAAACCAGCATCCTGGATTCCATTACTAGTCAAGTCCCATATGTTCCACATCATTGTTTTCACTCTTTAGTACATCTGTGACGAGTTTGGAAAGCCAATATATTTCTTTGTTCCAGATTCCAGCGCGAAATTCAAACTGGAAGTTTAGTCCCAACGTAATTTGTATTTCTCAAACTTTTGCTGTGTTCTTGCACAACAAAAGTACCGATTCCGATCTAAAGAATCTATCCTGAGCTATACGTTCGGTAGATTACTCCTTTTGGAGTTTCACCCAATTTAATAGTTAACTGTGTTTTCGCCTCAGCTTACTATTCGGGTTTTGTTCAGCTTTTGACGTAAAGGCCGGTTCAGTTTATCACATCCGTTTTTATTCATTTTTGCCCGTTTTTAGTATGCTTTTCAGTGCATCTTTTTAACGGTCTTGAGCTTTCGCTAGCATCTATAATACAGTTTACGTCAATATAGTCATGAAAAATTCATGCAAACGACTTGGATAACGTTCTGCTGTTACATCTGACAAGCAGTGCGATAACTGCAAAGGTTGGTTCCATGAAACGTGCATAGATCTCACAGCAACTGCTTACAACAGACTCAGCAAGTCGGATCATAAGTGGGTATGTGTTACGTGCAACACGGATGCTGTAGTTTCGCTAAGTAACATCATTGTCCTATTGACAGGTCTGCAGAATAAGTTGTCAGTAGACTTGGAAAAAGGCGGTCATAAGGTGGGTAGACAAACAAGGACGCGCAATGAAAAGAAGAATAGCTATGTCGACAGGCCTACTATTGATGGAACATGCACCACCACCAGTGATGACATGCTGAAACTCAGCACCATCATTACGTTGACGGTAATAGACTCCTTCAGCAACCTCGGGTCTCCCAGCTCACAGCCCTTGAATGCGACAGTGGTTCTCAAGAACTATGTAGGTGAGTGGACCCACGTTAACAGAGCTAAAACGGACTAGGCGTCACCGTCTAAGCTGAACATCTCAAGTATTGTAAGGAAATTAGCTGGTGATTTGACTGCACAGTCTACTCCAAGAATGCCTGTCTGGCCATCAAAGGGCCTAGGAATCAGAAAGGTGCTTCGAACTCCAAACAACAAGGTGCTGAACCTGAACCCACCGGACAACCTGGGAAAACAATGACGGTTCGCGATGACTCTCTCATAATCATGAACCTCAACGACAAAAATGACAGGATGCTCTAGGGAGGATTAAACAAGGAGCTTGAACTTCCCCGAATAGAGCCATTGACGGTCGCACGGCTCACTCAGGGAAAGTAAACTAAGCATCAAAATCACTCGAGGTTACTTCGTGTTACACTCACCAACGCTACCGACGTATAGGATGTACTGCTAGCTAGTCATTTACTGAAATCTGAAAGGAACGTAAGAATACTGCCTGACATTCCGTATTCTGAGCGCAATCTCATCCGGAACATCCCTAAAGAATCTCGCGAGAAGTTTTTCCGCGGAAGAAGTATAATTGTGCAAGATGTACCGGAAAACACGGACCCTAGTCAAGCAAACTCTGGTATTAGGGAATGAAAATTCATCAAGAAGTCCTTGGAGCTTAAAAACATAATGAATCAACATGTGACGAAACTAACCAAGAAGGACGGTGATTCTAGACCCCGGCTAATGAGGATAACTTTCCCATCCCCCCATATGGTGGCTGCAACTCTGGCAGCATTTCGTGCCAACAGACGTCGGTTGCCAACTGGAATCCATATGCACCCGGATAGGCCACATGACGCCAGGATCAAGCACAGAGGCAAGTTGGAGCTGACCATTCCACTTGTGGACTGTCTTGGTCATTAGGAAGATGTGTAAAGGACAGGGCTTGCCAACTCGGCAAACCTTATATAGGTAGGCTACCTGTCCATTCAAGTAAGGCCCATACAGACAAACAGAAAAAGTCCATGAGTTTCAAATTAAAAGCATAAACTGCTTATTCATGAACGCCGCGAGCCTATCAAGTAAAATGCATCAGCTACGTGAAGTTAGAAATTCTAATAAGGCTCATCTGATAGGAATAACTGAAACTTGGATATCTTCTCAGTTCTCGGACCAGGAGTTAGCAATACCTAGGATGTCTTAGTTTCGCGACGACAAAAAAGCAGGAATTGGGGGTGGATTGACATTTAAAGGTCAGGGTTAACTTCACTTCATCTCAGGATATGGAATGTCCTAGCGGGGTCCCCCAGGGCTCAGTACTAGGACCACTTCTCTTCTTGATTTATATGGATGATCTTACACAACAGGTATCGTCAAACTTATTGCTTTTTGCTGATGACGTGAAACTTTGGAGAGAGATACGCAACCAAGACGATATACAAGCACTTCAGGAGGATCTGACTCGACTTCAAAGTTGGGCAGACGATAACGGACTTACCTTTAACACTTCAAAGTGCAAAGTAGTTCATCTGTGACATGTTGCAGACCACAGTTAAAACTTAAGAAACTCATCTATAGTAGTATCCCGAGTCGAAAAAGATTTGGGAGTCCTGGTACCCTACGATTTGAAGTCTCAAGCTAACTGTGACGGAATTCCCTTCGAGCAAACCTTGCACTGATAACATTAAAGCGCATTCTTGACCAGTTTGACGGAAGAACTTTCCACATAATCTTCAACAGTTTTACTCGTTCCCAATTAGAGTACGGAAACATAGTATTTCCCCCCTCACTCCAAAAGGATAAGGACACTCTGGAGCGTATCCCACGGCGAGCCACGAAATCTGTTCGGGAACTCACATGGGAACCTTATGAAGAGCGCCTCTAATCACTTAACCTTTACCCATTAGAGTACAGACGTCTTAGAGGTGACCTTCTAATGGCTTACAGTATCCTTAACACTTCTGGACATCCCCTTCAACACCTACTTAAGTTTAGCTTCAACACAAACCTAAGGGGTAACACCCAGAAATTGTAGATACAACATAGCAGAACGGAATGTAGACACTCTTTAGGAGTTGTCAAATGCCGGAATTCGCTGTCGACTGAACTAGTCCAAGAAACTTCCCAGGAGTCCTTTAAGAGGAAACTTGACCTATTCTTAAGGACTAAGGATAACACCTTATTATGATTTACCAATTTCTTTTTTCTCCTCTCTCATCGTTAATATACCTAGGTTCTTGCCTGGAGGCTTCGGTGATCCATTGCTACTAGACAGGGGAGCCCGTTAAGCAAAAGCCTTTTCTACTACGTCCACAACCATTTGAACCATTTGAGCTTATAATTCCCTCCGTACAGTTCCAGGCAATCGGCAATATACAACAAGAGTAATTGACTGCACACATTCTGGTCAGCTCACTTTTTTGTGGGTTTACGTTCATCGTAATCTGAACACCTGAGAGAGGGTCATTGTCACCTCGCCTGGAAGAGGAGTTCAAATAGAGCCAACTCTCAATGAGAAAAAGTGAAAGAGACTCTAGATTTCTGTCCTTTGGTGAGTAAACTTTCAGAGATTCCCCTCAGAGCTATGTGATGAGGCTTTGGTAGGAAGATTTTTCAGGAGACTGCGTATGCGTTTCAGGGGAATGGGGATGATTTTGATTTTAGAACTCGAAAGCCTAACTTTATTCTGTCATCAAACAACGAGGATCCCTGTCCTATTCAGATTTCTACCTCTAGTGACACATGAAAGGGATGTCTAGAAACCACGACCTCAATGACACTGCGTAGAAGGACACAATAGCGATGGTTGTGTCGCATGACCTTTACTAGTTAAATAAATGACTTAGCACTCGAATACAAATTCTGTGGAAGATGAGTCAACTGTCACTGAGATACCATAGTATTCAGGCTGTACCACTGCTTCATGATAAGCCATCCATACCCATTACTCCGGCACGTGTGTTTCGAGTACTGAGTAGAACTCCCCACTCAAACCAACGAAAGTTAAAACTAAGGCTTCGTATACAACAGTTGAGCCACGTATGCCTACTCCTGTTAGTGGAATATACACAGGAACCTTCAGAAATAGTACCACGGGAGTCACTATAGAAGAAAAACACAAATCCAAGTAGATCGCGACGAGGACATCCTGGCGAATCCATCAAAGAGGTCACTGAATGCCACATGTCTGCAATAAGGAATAGGAACAATGAGCATCGGTACACCAAAGTTTGATAAAAATAAGATGAACCTCATGGATCATTACTAAATTCTTTTCAGTGGCCCAGTTTAAAGGGCTATGTATTGGAATGCATCGGAATGAATGCTGAACCTTGCTCGTTATTAGTGTTATCCCAGAAAAACTCCATATCAAGGTCAAATACTACAAATGATAAACTCTTCATCAAGAGTTACGCTGACGTCGGCGGTTAGGCGATCGTCAAGTATAAGAGTTCAAATTAACAACCTTGTTCGGCACGAAAAGCGCTGAGGTAACAAGTCAAAGGTGTTGAAGAACGAATCAGAGTGGGTTCTAGAAAGACCGAATTCTTCACTTAGGACTGTACTTACTAGGTTGCAGGGGATTAAGAGGCTCTCTGATGATTGTGCACAACATAATAATTACTCCGTCTCGATTCAATAAAAGCACAGTCTCATAACGGGTCAGGCCTACCTATAATGTTATCGCAGCCAATCTTGTCCAATGAACCACCCAATACGGTCGGTAACTCATAGATTCCTGGAAACGGAATGGAATGAAAGTCAACTTTCAGTAATAAACATACGAAAGTATAACTCCATTCCTCTTATTATTACAATCTAGAGTGACCAGGATTAGTTGGTGCTGGAAATGCCGTCTTATAGGGCATCTCTTATTTCTCATGTTTGCACTTAGATCACAATCACGCCGACACCAACATTCGAAGCCACATCCCAATTTTTTCCTCTC